ATAGAAAGCCCATGAAGAATTAAATAATCTTCAAGAAACACTGAATCAAATGGCACAATTTATGACTTACACTGGTACAATATGAGAGACTTGGGGTATTGTTGCTGTTAAGTTTGGGGTTAAGGATTGGAAGAAGTGAATTTTAATGGCTGGGCGGGGGGAAAGCTGCGGTTGCCCCAACATTGTTTCCACTGTTTGGATGACCAGGCAGCAGCTTCAAACTCTTAGTCAGAAAAGGCAGAAATAGTGAAAAAGTATGTACGCTCACAATGAAGGCACGGTAATGGCTAATGAGTTACTGCTGTCGAATATCATCATGAAACAACTTAAGAAGCTTGACTGGGCTTTTCCTGTCTTTGTATTTCGATGCCGCACCAAACTGAACCTTTGTGTGAGTTCACATGGAACACATTCTTGTGTTTTACATAAATGTGCAGATGATTGGGGAAACAGTCTATAAAGAGAAAAGGCCCAAGCAAGCAAAATGTGAACCCCAATATTTAATTTGAGCGAAATACAGGAGGTCAGTGTTTCAACAGTGAAATGTCAGAAAGTACCAGTGACAGTGATCGGATTGATTTATATAAACCACTCTCTTCACCCTCCTATTTAATCTAAACATTAAACAATAGTTCACATGTGAATCTCTAGATGAATAAAAATAAAGCTAATGTTTAACTTTTATATGTTTTTTTTTTTCATGTTTGGAATATACTGCTTTTGAGTTCTGGTCAGACCTTGGTCATTATGACAAATGTCAATGAACCAAATGCCCTGATACCCAAATCATCACACATTATGCTGTTTAAAGGCAATTCATTTAAATGTTGACTTTCTACATTACCATTGATATTGTCTTGAATTGAGTTCTATTTGGGTTTTAGTTGATTTGTCTGCAGCCAATCACAGGTTAAACTGAGTATTTCCCCTTCTTCAGACAGAAGTCATTAAACATGTACAGATTTTCACATGTGTTTATGTGGTTAGGTTCCAGCCCTCCCCCATTTCTCCGTCTCTTGGTGGTCACTGGTGATTGATTACTTGTCCAGGCAGTTTCAGGTTGTAACACTGAACCAAGCAAGTGAAGTCTGCTAATTAACTTTTTAGCAATTAGCTGCTAAACAGGAAGGTATCACTGTAGTGCTAGGCCAAAACTGTCAAATTTTTCTTTTTTACAAGTGTATTTTTGTTTGTTCTGTTTTCCACATAAGGAGCTGTGAAATGCAGGATGCCACTTTTTTAAAGAGAAAGGTTAAGACAGTGTAAAGATAAGCCATTTGTTGAAGCTAACCATAACATATGAGGTGCTAAAGTCAGAGGTTTATCTAACATCAGAAAATGTGAGATTTAATGTGCTCCTTGTGTATGTGGGATTAGATTTCCATTCATCAAACTATTTGTCTGACTAAATCACCCTTTTACTCTTATCAAATAGCACGTATGATGATACATACACTTTTAATGGTGACAAAACCCATTTACAAAGAGTATTATCACACATGAGATAAGGCAAATTTATGAGAAGTTTTTTCACATTTGCACATGTGCACAATTGCTAGGATTTAACAGCATCTAATTTTAAACTATTTCACTTTTCTGCAAGCAAAACCTGATAACACTGTTAGCACCAGACAATATTAACTAATTTTTTACATTATACTTGGCATGCACCTTGAAGTAGCTATAGTAATTATGATGCACATTAGTAGTAATGCTTTGGGGACTGCATTACGCCAAACAACTCTCAAAATATTTGTGTTGCACTTTGACAAAGTCTATGCTGGCCTTGATGTTGTGATATCAGTTTGGAGCTTTGTTCTGTCAAATACAGGTAAAATATTTTCTGTACGTCTGACTAAATAGACATTCTTTGCAATTGCTTTTTTGTGTCGGTTCTTTCTTACGTATTCTTTCTTACTTAAAAATGTCAAAAAATGTCATATAATTTTTTAATTTAAACTGGATGTAAAATAGTGATCCTAATGACCAAACTCAATTGGGGCAAGGGGTAAAGAATGGAGGGAAAGAGAGTAGGAGGGAGGTGAGGAGCAGGATTGTGAAAATTGCCGTTGGCTGCCACCCAGGGCCCGGTCTTTGTGGTAATGAAGGGTTAGAGGCAACATTATTGCTCCCAGATGCCGTGCGGGTTCTCTGCAGTGCTTTGATGCATAGTCCGAGTCCCCAGCTCTGTTCTATCAGACTCTCATCAACATGCGCTCCACCACACACACCAAAACCTCTTAAAACAACAACAGTGCCATAAACGGTTGTCTTTTCGAGGTTTTCGCACACCAAACAGCCCTGATTTGTTTCGCAGTGTTAATTAGTATTTTTTTGAGGGCCCCCTGTGTTTTTTTGGAGTATTTGTACATGTGGTGGTGTTTCCGTTTGTTGGTCCCATGTAAGAACGATTATATTTCAGCAAAAAATTGTGTGTATGTCATTTAATGGCAAAGTTCTTTTATGAATTCTAAAGTGAACTTCCTCTGGCTTCTTCTAATGAGCTCACTATTACTCACAAGCAAAACAAAAACATGGAAAGTCCTCTTCTCGCATGCACGGGCTAAACAGCAGACTGAACTGAACTGGACTAACTGTTAAAGAAACAATATGTGGCTGCAGATCAAATATGAAATGGGAGTTGTGTTGGCAGTTAGTAAGAAGGATTCAGTTTCGAGGACTGTAGAATGTCAAACCATAATAGGTGGTTAGAGTAAAAAAAAATACTCAAGTAGGAGTAAAAGTATGTATTCCTATAACTGCTCAGAGATTTGCAGTTTCTTTAAAAGGTTAGGTTTGAGCAGAAGAATTACAGTTGAATTAATATTGACAAATAGCAATGGAGAAATTCTGTTCTGTCAACAGGATAAAAGTTTTTTTTTTAACATTTCTATTTTTCGCACACATAGTGCAATCTAATCCAATAAATAGGTAACAGTAATACTGAAACATACAAAGAAATAAAAACTGATAAAAATCTAGTAGTAGTACTAGTAATCTGACATATACTACCAGAAATTCTCAACATGATGCTACATTTCATAGTCCACTATATGATCAGTTTCAGAGCCAATGCAGTAATATTAATGACATACAATTTAAACTTTTTACAACATTGAAATGTGCCCACATTTGGATGTTACCTACCAGCCAATGTAGCGCTTGCCAGAACACGAATGACACAGCTGCAAATTGGATGTAGGGTTGACATGAAACACTTAATAACTCAAAATAATAATAACTCAATAAAACAAGTCATGCTGGCGATCAGTTAAATGTTGCCAACTGGCTGAGTAAAAGCATGGAAACATGGAGTCACCAGTATCGCTCAAGACTTCCAAACAGTGTGTTGGAATAATGTTTTTGAGGACATGGTGGTATGTTTGGGCCCATCCGGAAGCTAAAACGCTGTAGTTGTTTAAATAAATTACCCGAAATGAAACATTAGAAATGTGTTCTTTGCTCTATTAACTGTAAGTACCAAAGAAACTCCATTAAAAGGGTTTATTGTTAGGACATGGTCATATTAAACCCAATAAAAGCAATCTGACGCATTGTAGAACCAAGGCTTCATCAGGGAGTCAACTCTCGACAACAATAAAAGCTTTTTAAGAGGCTAAACCAGAGGGCAATAGACTTTCCTGGATCTACATAACTTCTATTTATTAAAAACTCTACAACACTTCTTTCATCTCACTGTTGTGTTTTGAAACATTTCATTTCTTGTAATCTGAGAATCTGAAATTTACAATATATAATAAGCACTGAGATAATTAAACAACAGAATGGAATAAAGTCAGAATCTAGCCCTTTTTGTATTATTCCTTTCTGTTGTTGTGAAACTGGGACTTTTAAACATAAAAAAAATTCTTAAAGATTACAGCCATTACACTGCATTTATCTCTTTGGTATAATAAACTATTACATCGCTCCTCATTTCTTGTGATAGAATATACTGACTAGACTGAAGGGAAATATGAATCATCATCAAGGGTGCTCACTCTTAACAAGGGGTCATCAGAGGAGAGCCAGTGTAAAAAGACAAATAAGGCCTCTCATTTATAGAGGAACCTCTTTGCCCGCAGCAAAAATGATGATGTCAGCATTGTGGGCCAAGGCAGAAGGGGACACCTGGGCGTGTGCTTCTTGTGTTTTATTTTTTCTATAACATGCTTTTATGGGATATGACCATTTGGCTCCATGGCCCATAAATCCTTTGATGAAGGAGCTTGGTCACCCCACTCCTCCCCGTTCCCCTGAGTCTGTGACTGGGCAGGGCTGGGTCGGTGGTTAGCATACCAGATGCGTTTTTAAGGTTAGTTACAGACTTGGCTTAAAGGTGCTGTTTGCAAAGACAAGTGCGTTGCATGTTCACAGCAGGTTTATACAGAAAAAACAGTTGCTATTTTTGGTAATCAGTAATTTCACAATTTTAGCAGCCAGTTGTAGGGAAAAAAAATGAATGTACCCACCACAAACAACATAGTCCAAAGAACATAGCACAATGGAGTGAGTGGATGTGTCAGGTTTATTGTAGAGATATATATATAGATGTCCTGTATGCATTTATAGGGGCCTTACTGCAGAGTGACCCCCCTTTTCATTGCTCTGTACAGTTTGTGGTGTGTGTTTCTCATTTGTTGCGAGGAGTATTTTTTTAAACTCCGCTCAACTGTAATCAAAACCACAGGCCCAAAGACTTTGTGCAACTTTTCCATTTAACTTTTTTTAGTTTTTTTTCTTTTGGTCTTTCATTAAATGTATTAATTTATGGATGATTTTTGCATTGTGTTGCAACTGTCACTGTTCATAATGTACATATTTTAATTCCATCACATTCTACGTTCTATTATGTAATATAATTAGTTGACTCTTTTTCTTTTACAATAATTGGAGTACATTTAATTTTGTTTTTTTTGTTTTTTACACATTTTAGTAAAAAAAAAGGTTAGGGTGAATCTGGCTTCCTAAATTTGCTCTGTTTCTGTCACCCCCTGCAGGAGAAAGAGAAGAAGTTCATGCTGCCTGTGGACAACCTGAGACTGAAGGATGTGGAGAAAGGCTTCATGTCCAGCAAACATATTTTTGCCCTCTTCAACACTGAACACAGGTTACAAATCTATTTTCAGATTTTCTAACTGTTTACTTTTGTCAGGACACTGTGAGAGGCAAAATGCTGTGTGTATTGTTCAGTGATTTCCTGCCTTCTCCATAGAAACGTGTACAAAGATTACCGTCAGCTGGAGCTTGCCTGTGAGAGTCAGGAGGATGTTGATGCTTGGAAGGCATCATTCCTCAGAGCTGGAGTTTATCCTGAACGAGTCACGGTAAAGTATCCATCTTTGATTTTTAAATATTTATATTGCATATTCTTAATTAATTTTGATGACTTATTATGGCACTCCTTTATTCTAAAATAAAATAAATGTAAAAATATTTCAGTTGAAAATAGACAAAAATTTCTGTGTCTTCAAATGTAAACCTGTTTGTGCTGTTTGAAAATTAAAATGAAAAACTTGTCTACCTTGTCTTATTTGACTTTTGTCTTTTTAATTATACGTTTTCCATGGCCTGTAGGAGAAGGAAGGAAAGGTATTAATTAATGACCTGCATAATCATTCTAAGTAATAATAATAATAATAATAATAATAATAATGATAATCCAATTAACCAGATAAACCTTTTTGATCTGTCTGTGCAGAGTGATGGAGGAGATGAAAATGGCTCAGACAGTTTTGGTCACAGCATGGACCCTCAGCTGGAGCGACAGGTAGAGACCATTCGTAATCTGGTCGACTCTTACATGGCCATCGTCAACAAGACTGTGCGTGACTTAATGCCCAAGACAATCATGCACCTTATGATCAACAGTGTGAGTTTTTAAATCAATCACTGTTCAATAACTGGTTTAACAACTAATTAACTTACCCATACTCTAAACCCAGACCAAGGAATTTATCAATGCAGAGCTGCTGGCACACCTGTACTCCTGTGGGGACCAGAACAGTTTAATGGAGGAGTCCCAGGAGCAGGCCCAGCACAGAGATGAGATGCTGCGAATGTACTTCGCTCTGAAGGAGGGGCTCGGTATCATTGGAGACATTAGCACTTCCACAGTGTCCACCGCCATGCCCCCACCTGTCGATGACTCCTGGCTACAGGTGCAGCGTGGAGGCTCTGGAGGAAGGTAAGACCAGAGATAAGACTGTGAAATAAATATAATAAGAACTGTGTATGAATTATACAAGCAGCCAAAATAGCCTCCATCTGGACATTAAGGGTTAATAAACACATGTTTTTTGTTTTTGGCACAATTTAGATAAAAATAGCTTTTACATCTATAGCTTAACGGATGAGATGGAGTAGGTGAACAATGTAACTTTCCTGTAGGAGAGTCGGCCAACTCCTTCTCTCCATAGAGATGTTATTGCTTTGCCTGGAATGTTCCACAGTACGGCATGAAATTTATCTTTGTCCATGGAGATAAATGGTAAATGGTAAATGGTCACATTTTCTATAGCGCTTTTCCACCTTCAAGGCACTCAAAGCGCTTTAATTAAAGGTCAGATCTGTGGAGAGGCAACCCTGCCACATCAAGAATATCTGTGTTTCGAGATATTTTATAGTTATAAAAACACTTGTAATTGAATAAATGCAAGATAGCTATGTTTAATGCTAGGCTGTGGAAAACAACCACTGGAAACATTACATATTGTTTGTATAAAGTATTGTTTTATTGTATTGTTAATATTTATAGTCCTTTCTTGCATTTTATTGCACACACACTTTTATTATATTTTATTATACTCCACTATGCGATCAGTTAAGTTCTATATCTATAATGAAGTTTATATCATCTCAGGTCTCCAGCTACCAGTCCAACTCCCAACCGCCGAGCTCCACCCGGACCCCCTGCTCGGCCTGGCTCTCGTGGCCCTCCCCCTGGTCCTCCTCCTGCAGGTGGCCCCCCTGTGCCCTCTCGCCCTGGAGCCTCTCCAGACCCCGGCAGTGGGCCTCCTCCAGCTGTGCCCTCCAGGCCCAACCGTGCACCCCCCAGTGTGCCCAGGTCAGTGAAATCCATAATTATTGTAGGTATTGTATAGTTAGAGGCAACATGGAATAATGACATCAAGCAAGTCATTATTTATATAGTGATTAGTTTACAAGTGTGGATGCTCTCTGTTGCAAAGGGGGATGTGAAGACTCCTGGATGATGGGATGAAAGAGGTAATTAAAAGATAGCATAATAGAGAAGTAGTCCGGTAGAAAAATGTATAGATCCACCTTAATTCAAATGTAATCATAGATAGAAAGATAAATGCAGGATTGTGTGAACTCCGGTGGGCAAGGTAACCAAGGTAAGTAAGTGTTGGGTAAAATTCTTTTCAGATAACAGACGTAATTCACTAATACAAGAATAGTCATTTGCCTCATGCTTGCTTGTGTTTGCGAACTAGCTAATCTTTCAAATTAGCACTGACCCAGTATGAAAGCTTGCCTCTTAAAAACCTGACGTCACTGATCTCACCTCTCACCCTCAAGTGCAGTTATATTTTCACATAAATTCTGATGCATTGTGGGTAAGAGCTGAGCACATATGATGTCCGCCCTGTCCCGTAACATCTCTCTTCTTTGTCCTGGCCCCTCACCTCACCTCTGTCCTACACATACTTACCTCTTTACAGAATCACTGTTTCTGACCAGTGAGGAGTAACGCTTCTGGTATGTCTGGTACTATCCCCACAACCATCATCATGACCACAAGACCACATTCCTTTCTCTCTAAAAGGCATTCTTCCATTGCATGTTCTATTTTGTCTCTTATTGAACTGCATGAGTAGCACCAGTGTTTTGACCATAGCTTCAGTGGATGTGTGTTTCCGCTACACTGAGACGCAGACAGAGTATATGATCGTATGGGCATTGTTATTGTAGCAGTTATATGTGTTGTGTATTGGGTAAAATAATAGAAGGTATTGGGTAAAATAATAGAAGCCAGGGATTAGGCAAACCAAAACCAGAATTTCAAACAAACTCCATTCAAGTATTATGCTTTAAAATACATTGTAAAATAAATATGATTATACTCAAGCTCTAAAGATAGCATTTTTTTAATTAACATAATTGTTATTAAATAATTGTCTCTCACTCATTTATTAGAATTTCTGTACTGACTATGGATAATGTACAAATTGTACCTGTGGTGTGAATGCATGATTTTTCCAAAAACATGCAAGTTTACATTGAGCTTGCATTGAGTACATACATTGACATTGTGTGAACATTCTGTTGAAAAGGTGAGTATTCAAATATTTACCTGATATATATATATATATATATATATATATATATATATATATATATATATATATATATATATATATATATATATATATATATATAGTATGTATGTATGTATGTATGTATGTCCAACCTCAAACCTCCCCTTTGTCTCTGTGTTTGTTTGTGGCAGTCGAAGACCCCCTCCTTCTCCAACCCACTAGACCAGCTGAGCTCCTACCCACCCTCTGTCCTATATGATCATCCCACGGCTAGATATCGCCTGCTGCAGACCATGGACAACAGCGCCACCTACTGTACCTGCTCCTCCTAAACCTGAGCTGCCTCCTATATTCACCCACTGTCATGTTCCCTTTTTACTCAATGAATACTTGAAACATACATGCATGAGATAAAATATTGCTCCCACCAAATAATATAATCAACCTATATATAGAAATCTAAAAACTGCACACTCAAAGAATATGGATGGAAAACAAACTCATGGGAACTCAGTCTGCTTACAATTGTACTTTATATTTATTATGATTTTCAAAGAGTTTACTGTTCTCTTTATTGTATTAGATACTTCCAATGTTGCTTGTGATATGTTAGTACTTTAGTTCAAGAATGTATTGTATTCAAATCTACAGGAAACTTGCACTAGAAAGAATAATATGACTTGATAGGCTTAGGCTACAAGCATTGCCTTATACTGTAAATAGTCTCAATACATACTACTGCTTGATTGAAAAACAACAACACTTTGAAGTATTCGTTTGAGGAAAATCATGGAATCATGGATATGAGCAAGGCAGACTAGTTTATTACTTCTCTATGTTTTAGTCCACATTGAAAGATGCCCAAAACCACCAATGAATGAACAAATCTGTCTTTACTGTTCAAATTCCCCTCTTTGTGAGATAAATGTTATTATCTGATGTTTTTTATCAAACAGCCGCCCAACCAGAGGCAGTCCCACTCGACCTGAGAGCCCCCTGCCACCATTCGACTCCTAGAAGAAACTTTTCCCCTTTTTTGTCATAATTCTGCATCATCTTTTCACCTCTTCCATCTCCACCTGGCCACCATATCCAACCTCTGCTCTGTGAAATATAAGGAGTACAATACAATTCTTCAAATTATTTTATGGATGAACAGTTCAAGACTTTCTTAACATATCTCTTTAAATGTTGTCTGTACTTTCTCAGAAGCTATGCAACAAAAATGTTTGTTTTGATTTTCTTTCACAAGTTATTCCCATGCTATATTACCCAGTTATTAACCTGCTGTTTCCAAGGATTAATTCATATTTCAAAACATTGATTTAAAGTCTAAGAAGAGCATCAGTGACTGTTGTAGATTCTTTACACAATTTTTTTAGATGCCCAGACAAAAAGTGTTTTGACATTGTATTGCTTTTCTCTGTTTTCTTCTTCCTATCGTAGTGGTCATGGGGGTGAGTGACAACTTGAAGTCACAATACACAACTTCCTTTTGTTCTACCCATACATCTGTGTGAGATACTGTGAATTGTACCAGTGAGTTTTGTGTTTGAACCCTTCACGTATTTTTCTGTTTAAAATTATACCATAAAAAACACTGAGTAGTATGTACTCCATAACTGTTTCATATCCTTCATATTCATCTACAATTGTGTTGTTTATGTGTCTCACGTTGGATGGGCATTTTACTTTGCTCCCTTATTGTGCAATGTACAACCATGTACCTAGGATGTATTTAAATTAAATTATTATGAAGATGTGTATAAATGTAATACAAGTTTAAATGATATATTTATTGCAGTGACGTTGTTTTAATACTGTAGCTTGAAACACATTTTTGTTTTATTAATTGGTCTGGAGAAGAATGGATGGTGTAAATGTGTTCCCGGATTATTTATAATGCGTTTATCCTGTCATTGTTGTGCTTTGTTGACACAATAAAAGTTTAGTGTCTGGAAACATGTTTTTGTAAATCTCTTTTTAAAATACATGAATTGCATTCACTTGATCACAATTATGGCTACACTATACATGATTAGTGTTTCAGTCTTAAGGAAAAGACCAGTTTAGATACCACAATGGTTGTTACAATGTTTTATACAATAGAAAGAAAGTCCTTTCCAACTGAATGTCAGAGTGGCTTCTTCAATATTATTATGTGGTCTAATTAAGACTATTGTAACTAATAAGGAAGGTTCAACCATGTCTTGCTAATGTATTTTTTAATTATCAGTACCTGTTTAAATGAAAAAAAAATTAACTACTTCTAGTCTATCCATCCATTTTCTTCCGCTTATCCGGGGCCGGGTCGCGGGGGCAGCAGTCTAACCAGGGACTCCCAAACTTCCTTCACCCCAGACACGTCCTCCAGCTCCTCCGGGGGAACCCCGAGGCGTTCCCAGGCCAGCCGAGAGACATAGTCCCTCCAGCGTGTCCTGGGTCTTCCTCGGGGCCTCCTCCCGGCGGGAAATGCCCGGAACACCTCTCGAGGGAGGCGTCCAGGAGGCATCCGGAACAGATGCCCGAGCCACCTCAACTGACTCCTCTCGACGTGGAGGAGCAGCGGCTCTACTCCGAGCTCCTCCCGTCTGACTAAGCTCCTCACCCTATCTCTAAGGGAGCGCCCAGCCACCCTGTGAAGGAAACTCATTTCGAGCGCTTGTATCCGCAATCTCGTCCTTTCGGTCATTACCCAGAGCTTATGACCATAGGTGAGAGAAGGAACGAAGACTGACCGGTAAATCTTCACCACAACGGTCCGATACAGCGACTGCATCACTGCAGACGCTGCACCGATCCGCCTGTCAATCTCACGCTCCAGCCTCCCCTCACTCGTGAACAAGACCCCGAGATACTTGAACTCCTCCACTTGAGGCAATGACTCCCCACCCACCCGGCGAGGGCAAGCCACCTTTTTCCGGTCGAGAACCATGGCCTCGGACTTAAAAGAGCTGATCCTCATCCCAACCGCTTCACACTCGGCTGCAAACCACCCCAGTGCACACTGCAGGTCCTGGTTCGATGGAGCCAACAGGACAACATCATCTGCGAACAACAGAGATGAAATCCTGTGGTCCCCAAACCGGACCCCCTCCGGCCCCACTCTGCGCCTAGAAATTCTGTCCATAAATACAATGAACAGAACTGGTGACAAAGGGCAGCCCTGGCGGAGTCCAACATGCACCGGGAACAGGTCTGACTTACTGCCGGCAATGCGAACACAGCTCCTGCTCCCTTCATACAGGGACCGGACAGCCCTTAGCAAAGGGCCCCGAACCCCATACTCCCAGAGCACTCCCCACAGGACACCACGAGGGACACGGTCGAATGCCTTCTCCAAGTCCACAAAGCACATGTGGACTGGTTGGGCAAACTCCCATGAACTCTCGAGCACCCGATGGAGAGTGTAGAGCTGGTCCAGTGTTCCACGGCCAGGAAGAAAACCACACTGCTCTTCCTGGATCTGAGGTTCGACTATCGGCCGGATTCTCCTCTCCAGTACCCTGGCATAGACCTTACCGGGAAGGCTGAGGAGTGTGATCCCCCTGTAGTTGGAACACACCCTCCGGTCCCCCTTCTTATACAGAGGGACCACCACCCCGGTTTGCCAGTCCAGAGGTACTGTCCCTGACCGCCACGCGATGTTGAAGAGGCGTGTCAGCCAAGACAGCCCCACAACATCCAGAGACTCAAGGTACTCAGGACGGATCTCGTCCACCCCCGGAGCCTTGCCACCATGGAGCTTGCCAACCACCTCAGTAACTTCAGTCAGGGTGATGGACGAGTCCGCCTCCGAGTCCCCAGCCTCGGCTTCCTCCTCGGAAGACGTGACGGTGGGATTGAGGAGATCCTCAAAGTATTCCTTCCACCGCCGGACAACGTCCCCAGTCGAGGTCAGCAGCTCTCCCCCCTCACTGTAAACAGTGTTGGTGAAGAACTGCTTCCCCCTCCTGAGGCGCCGGACGGTTTGCCAGAATCTCTTTGAGGCCGTCCGATAGTCCTCCTCCATGGCCTCCCCGAACTCCTCCCAGCTCCGAGTTTTTGCCTCCGCAACCGCACGGGCTGCAGTAGGCTTGGCCCGCCGGTACCCGTCAGCTGCCTCAGGAGTCCCCCGAGCCAGCAAGGCCCGATAGGACTCCTTCAGCTTGACGGCATCCCTTACTTCCGGTGTCCACCACCGGGTTCGGGGATTGCCGCCGCGACAGGCACCACAGATCTTACGCCCACAGCTACGAGCGGCCGCATTGACAATAGAGGCCGATAACGAAGCCCACTCGGACTCCATATCTCCAGCCTCCCCCGGAATCCGGGAGAAGTCCTCCCGGAGGTGCGAGTTGAAAGCCCGACGTTCCCAACAGACCCTCACTACACGCTTGGGTCTGCCAGGTCTTTCCGGCTTCCTCCTCCGCCAGCGAACCCAACTCACAACCAGGTGGTGATCAGTTGACAGCTCAGCCCCTCTCTTCACCCGAGTGTCCAAGACACGCGGCCAGAGGTCAGATGACACGACTACAAAGTCGATCATCGACCTACGACCTAGGGTGTCCTGGTGCCACGTGCACTTATGGACACCCTTGTGCTCGAACATGGTGTTTGTTATGGACAAACTGTGACTAGCACAGAAGTCCAATAACAAAACACCACTCGGGTTCAGATCAGGGAGGCCGTTCCTCCCAATGACCCCTCTCCAAGTGTCACTGTCGTTGCCCACGTGGGCGTTGAAGTCCCCCAGTAGAACAACGGAGTCCCCGGTTGGTGCACAGTCTAGTACCCCTCCCAGGGACTCCAAGAAGGCCGGGTACTCAGCACTGCTGTTCGGCCCGTAGGCCGACACCACAGTGAGAGACCTGTCCACGACCCGGAGGCGCAGGGACGCGACCCTTTCGTTCACCGGGGTGAATTCCAACACACAGCGGCTGAGCTGTGGGGCAATGAGCAGGCCCACACCAGCCCGCCGCCGCTCCCCGCGGCTAATGCCAGAGAAATGGAGAGTCCAGCCCCTCTCAAGGAGTTGGGTTCCAGAGCCCAAACTGTGCGTGGAGATGAGGCCGACTATATCTAGTCGGTAACGCTCAACCTCCCGCACAAGCTCAGGCTCCTTCCCCCCAGCGAGGTGACATTCCGTGTCCCCAGAGCTAGTCTCCATGTCCGGAGATCCGGTCGTCGAGGCCCCCGCCTTCGACTGCCGCCCAGATGTCTTTGCATCGGCCCCAATACTACTTCTAGTATTGGAGTAAAGATGTTTTGATAAGCTTATGCTTGATTAACGTTCATAACATAAATACAATAATTGAATGAGATATGTTTTATCTTCTGTATCTAAAGTAAAAATAAAAAACATTCCAGTTGCTCAATCAGTTTTATTCTGGGGAAGAGCAGAAAACAAAACAAACATTTCAATCATACTCTCAATATTTATTCCTTCATTTTCATCCAATCATTATTTCAACATAAAACTGATTAGTCTCAAGAAAAACAAATAAATAATTTCTCTATTTTTGTCAATCATTACATTGATAAATCATAGCAGTAAGCACTTTCTCCCAATTATGCATCAACAGACATACTGTACCCACACACCAAGCAATATTAATGTACAATATGTTACACAATATACACCAGCGCTTTACAGTAGAACAATAAATGCTCTCATTGGTTTTGTCTATCTACAGTAAATATGTAAATCATTAATAAGCCCCATCTCACTTAAAAAAAAAAATTTAACTTATCCACTCTCCCCGAAAAATAATATAAAAAGTGACAGAATAAAGAAATCATTTAAGAAATCTTATAAAATGTGACCACCTGTTTGAGCCAAAGTGCTAAGACAATATCCACTTTCCAGCGTATAGCTTCTTTTATTTTCACAGCCGCATTTTACACTTTGTTTTGAATATAAAGCGTGCAAGTTATTCATTTCACAGGTGTACATTAATTTAATCATTGTAAAGCCTCTATCGTATGTATATATGACAATAAGCCTGCTATCTGACAGTGAGTATTCAAATGCCTCATTATTTGAATATACTGAGGTTGTTTTCTAAAAATACCAGATAAATGTTAAATGGTCAAAGGGGTATTGCAATTGTAACACATTTAAGTGTTTACATGCTTAAAACTAAGCCCAATATGAGCTTGTAAACAACCAATTCTCACTCTTTTTTATGGTTGGTCCGGCATTAAATGGTGTATAACCATAATCATATTTACATTTCAGTTTAAATAAATCTGGATCAGGCCAAACCCTCAGCACAAAGTATTTCCACTGCTCTGGCTTCATAAGATTTGTTAATTCTCTATCAAACAGCTGTGCCATTGGGCTGAGAACCAAATAAATAAACCACTGTTCAACTCAACAATTGAGATGTGAGACTAAGAGATTGTACAGTTTTAGTGCAATCATTCTTGTAGGGATAAATCTCTACAGATGCAGCTCTGGCCAAAAAAGATAAACTGTTTGGTTTTCATGGAATGCACACATATTGCAGCGATATGGTTACTATTGCATTTGTTAAACAATGAGAAAAATGTAACATAAAATATCAAACTTAGTGTAGAGACCTCTAAACCCATTTTCATATGAAAAATATAACACTAGATTCTGGTTAAGCCAGCCAAACGATTCTGAACAAGATGTAAAAATTTTGTAATAAACATTTGTGTCCTTCCTTTCAACTTCCTATGCCACTTTCATATTCATACTAAAATATTGCTCAAACAGTAGACACAACAAGACTTATCATAATATAGCTGAGGTCTAGGAGTCTCGTCTTCATGGTCTAGCAGGTCTAGCATGCCATCAAAATAAAGCTCTTCTGTGTAAGTAGTATGAGACTTCATTGTTGGCTCTAAACAACCCGTTTCCATACCATATATCACACCAATGTGAAACCATTGCCTGAATTTGAGCTGTAATACCTTAATAAATACTTCCAGCTCTGCCTACTTTCATCCACTCATGCAATCACATTAGCCAGCATTTCCTAATTACACTACATACAGTTACTACAATGGTACATTCAATACATTCAAACACAATGCTCATTTTTGCATGTGGACAGTAAAATTGTTGTTAGCAGACAAGTTTCCATGCGCTGCATATGTGAAGGACCCTATTAAGGCCCTTTATTGCACTTGTGTTTTAAATGATGGAGTATGTAGTAGAGAAATCTAATAATAATTTTTAAAAAAAGAAAAAAAAAGAAAGACTACTCCCTCCAAAAAAAATTGAGAAATAATTTCACTTATCTTTCAAAGAAAAAAAAATATCTCTGAACAGTTTTGTGCAGTTATGTTTTTGTGAACAGTACTGTAATATCTCTCCAATTTCAAGTTACGTTCAAGATCAGACACATAAAACACATCTCACACCACAAGGATCTTTACTTCATCTTGTTCATCAGGCCTGTAAAAGAATGGGATGCAAGGATTTTCACCCAAGAAAGGGGGTGCACGTGGTACTCCCTGGGGATTCTGGATCTCTTGGAGCAGCTGCATAATCTGCTGTGCTGTCCCGTCTTCTTTTGGCACTAAAGGTTTGGGTTCAGTCTGCGATGGCCCAGGTGGAACAGTTTGTGTCAAAGGGCCATCAACAGCTGTGGCTGATTCTGATAAAGGAATGACCTCCATGGCTTCTGCGATTATAGACAAAAGTGTAACTGTTTTGTAAAATTATAATTCAAACAATTACAATAATGTCATCTTTACCTTCTCCACTGATGGCATTTAACTCTGCTTGAGAATGGTCTTCTGAGTGGAAGTGGTCTTGGCCAAGAGGGAGAAGATCAGGGTTTACTTTGCCTGCAGCAGTGCTGTTGTAACGGTTGTACCACTCGTTTCTTTCAGATACTAGTCTCATAACCAGATCCTGTAGCTCTGCTAACTTCGCCTTATCGATAAATACAATAAAGACGAATCAAACAAGTGGAACTAAAAAATAACAAAGACAAAAAACTATATACACCATTATCATTTACACATACCTTCATCTCCTCCTTGTCCTGGGCCAGCATACTAATGTACTGCTCCTTTTCTTGGTGCTTTTGCTTCATGATGGCACGTTGGCTCTGATACAACGCGATATACTCTCCTAAACAAGACATTTTGTTTACAATAACTTGCACTATTCTGTGCTTATTGTTCTCTTATTGCCTGTTCCCTCACCAATGGTATCGGTCTCGCCTGACAGCTGGATGCATCTGTGCTCAAGCTCTTCCACCCTCTCCTTCAGGTCAGCCTTTTCTTGCATCAGGGAAGTGAAACGCTGCTGAAGTTTGTCCATTGCAGCTTGCAGAGCCTGATGGACCTCCACTGGCACACCATATTCTAAAAATAAGAAATTGAATAAGAAGAAATTCAGTTTGCATCCATGGCTACTTTGAAAATAGTGCTGGTTAGTGTAGATACCGGAGTTGTCATGACTATGTTGACAGTAGCTGTGTTCCTCCCGAGAGTCAGCTTTGTGAGTGTGATGTTCAAAGCTGAGGGCCATAGACGCCTGATGCCGCGCCGCCATGTGCAGTCTGTGCTCCTCCTCCAGCCGCCTTCGGGCCTCATCCCGCTCGGCCTCCACCTGAGCCAAGGCCCTGCGAATAAAGTCCTCCTACAGGCCAGCAAAAGGAACAACAAATAAGATGCCTTTATCATTATATGGCCCACCACCAACAGTTAATGAAAATAATTATCAGCCATACCATCTCTTTCTGGCTTTCAAAATCTTCTGGAATAACTACTGAGGAAGACATTTGTTGACTTTCTTCTGGTTCCTGACTCTCAATCCCATCACCTTGAACTCTGGGTGGAGTGGCCAGCACTGAGCTGTTGAGCAGTTCTGTCACTTCAGCTTTCAACTGTTCATTGTCCCTCACCAGTTTCTCCAGGTGGTCCTGTAGTGAAAAAAGCATTGCTGAAACGTTTTTTCATCAGATGTGAGTGCAGTAGACATACAGACCTGTGCTTCTTTGAGCTGACTGTGGCTGAGTTCGAGCTGCACGCGGCCTTGGCTCTCATCATGTTGGAGTCTGTCCATGATCTGGCACTGCTGCAGATACTGACGGTGAAGCTGTTCTCGCTCTGAGGCCAGGGTCTGGTACCCAGCAGCATACTGCTGCAGGTGAGCAGCCAACTGCTCCCTCTGCTCAAGCAGACCTTGGACCTCTTTACCCTTTTCTTCTAACTGGAGCAACAAAATCAATTCAATTCGACCATTATTAGACTGGTGTGGAAGTGAGCAGTAATAAAAACACAAAAAAAATACATGTTGTGGCTAAACCTCCTTGTCAAAAACCTGATCTTGTCAGAAGATAAGAGGGCTGGGTCTAGATAGTATTTGCATGGCATACCACTGGAAATTCCAGGTGCCACAGTGGGGTGCCAAAGACAGTTCTTGTATCCTTAGGCAAGACACTTCATCCACATTGCCTATTATGAAAGCGGTGTGTGCCTTAGTTTTGGTGGTTGGAGGGACTGAAGTGCAATGAATTTTTACATCACTAAATATATCGAATATTATAATGGTTATCCCAATGGGTAAGCCCGTTTTATCGATATCATATTGGATTCAAAAAAAGGTTGGCCAGACCCTACTTTTGATATTATGATTCATAATTATGATCCATTCCAAACTAGGAATCCGTAACTTGAATGAAAAAAACAAAATGAGTATCAAATACCTGCTCTTTCACATTGTGCAGTTCCTCCTGTATTTCACCCATTCTTCGAGCCAACTCCTTTTTCACATGTTGCTCTGACTGGATGGCTGTAGTCAATTCCATGTTCTCATTGGTCTATTGAAATAAAATTGCCATAGTATTAGAATAGAATAGAATAATTATTATACATATTACCTGACTAGAATTAATCAAATTTCTTAGCATGCAGTTCATGACATTTGATGACCAAGTCGAAATTACTCACAAGTTTGACAAAACCATTTTGCAGCTCTGCCAGCTGGTCTTTGAGAGTGCGGTTTTGGGTGAGTGCACGGCTAATGGTGGCCTTGTCAGACTGAACATCCTCTAGCATGCGCCGGCGGTCCTCTGCCTCCTGAGTCTGACTCTCCACCTGCCGCTCCAGCTCTCCCAGACGCGCCTCCTGCTCTGCACACAGGCGACTCAGCTGCTCATTGTCCCGCAACTAGAACACATTTTACAAAGCAATTAGGACTAAGTGATAAAGCAAAGATACATCAACATACGTATGGACACAATATAAAGGAAGCTATATTGAATTTATCCATATATTTATAACTGTATTAACTGAATTATTGCCTTTCTGTTTTCCACATCCAGCTAAGTTCCAACATTCCCACCTACCTCCACTCAACTTCCCCATGTTGCATTTCATGTATGCTACATTTTATTGCTTAATGGAACTACAGGAGAGGACAGAAATGTGTGGGCTGCTAGGCATACATCATCATACCACTTTCTGTTAGATAGTTTTATGCTGCAATAGTGCATATAAACTAGCCTAACTGCAGACACTGTAATTTCTGACCAATAGTGTACAGTCAGTTACAGATGAATCGTCACTCCAGACAGGAACTTGGCATTACCTGTGCCTGGTATTGTGCACTTAAGGCTTCATTTTGTTGCTGTATGTTGTTGAGAGCCTCCTGAAGAGCTACTTCATTCTCTGATGGGCCAGAGAACTGTACGTCTGCTTCATTTGGGGTCTCCTTTTCTTGGGAAAATGATGCTGCAAAAAACAAACGTTTTTCATTCTGTATTACATGTCATATTTAAAAAGGATATAAACAAAAGTTAGCCTGTGCACTTACCTATAGACTCTTTTAGCTCTTTTACGCTTGCCTCCAGTTCTTGAACTCGGCTAATATTCAAGTCTCTCTCCTCAGCCACTAAGGCAACCTGCACAAACATGCACAATTACTTCTCATGATGTAAAACATGAAAATAAAATAGTCTGAAATATGACTTCTTTACCTGGGTGAGAAGCTGTTCCGTTTTGTCCTTCCATACACGGCCCTCTTCTTGGATTTGCTCTACATAGCGGTCTCTTTCTGCTTTTAGTTGCGCAATAGACTCCATCAGCTATAAAAGTAATGAAAATAAGGGATTCTTCTAATTGATTTACTTTGCCACAAATACTTTTTTTTTCTTTTCAACTTCATTTTCTGAAGAATGTCATAATAAAGAATATACCTGGTGGCTCTGAGATTCTAGTTGCTGTTTTTCTTCCAATATTATCTGAAGCTGCTGATTAGCGCTGGTTGGATCAGACTGAGAAGAGCACTAAGAGGAAGAAATAAAAATTGTATTATAACAACCTTCAGCCCTATAAGCTGATGGAACTCTTAATTTCTTTCATTTCAACTCTATACCACACATACTTGTTGCAACATCAGGTCTGCAAGCTCAAGCCTCTTGTGAAGATCCTCCAGCTCCAGTTTCATAGATGCATTTTCCTGGGTTATGAGTTTAATTTGTTCAGACATCTCTGAGCTTTGTTGCTTTGATTCTTCACTTGCATTGCTTTTCCAAAAACAAAAGATAAAGAGTTAGAGTATAAGACATTTCACTAGCTATAGTGCAGTAAAACGTGTGAGAGATGCTATATCTCTAGAACATAACAGCAAATCGGAGTCTGCTTACTTGATTCTTAACACTTCTAATCTCAGGTTGTCCCTCTCCTTTTCAAGCTCTTTGTTATGCTGAAAAATACATAATATACCTTTATATAAAAACTAACAAACCAATTCCATGTATCAGTCCAGTCATATCAAACCTTCTCCAAGATTTTCTGTTGCGATGAAACAGTGGAAAGTGTCCTCTCCAGCTCGGCTACTCTCTGCTTTGTTGATTGTAGTCTATTGTTTAATTCTTCTGCCTCAGCTTTGCACAAAAAATAGAATCAATTTATGATCATCCAAGGCCTGCCGTATAACAAATATTGGATTAAAAAAAGACACTCGATTTACCCGATTTTTGCCGTGCAGCTTGTTGAGTATACTGCAGGGCAGTCTGCAGCTCTGACTTTTCTGATACTAATATACCAATAGTCTGGATATGAACCTTATGTGAAGAAAATACAACAGTTGGTTTTAAGCAATTAACAAAAAAGTACAAAGCATATTTAAAAAGAAAAGAAAGCTTACCTGTAACTGCTCTCGCATGGCTGACTGTTCTTTTGCAAACTTTTGTTCAAATTCTTTGCGCTCCTGAAGTGGGGAAAAGAGTACAATGTTACTATAAAACAGACTAAAAACAAAGAGGAGGCAGAAAACATATTGCATTAAAATCACCTTTTGTAACTGATCAGAAAGGTCTTGGGACTGCTGCGTCTTTAAAGCAAAAAAAGCAACACTTCAGGCATTAAAGCTTCAGTGTTATTTGATGTGTTGTTCAATGGTCAGAGATTCACTTTAAAAGCAGCCTGATTCTTACAGTATGCCAATGTATGTAGTAGAAAGATGAGAAATAAGTAATATAGCCAAATTGTGTGGGAAACAGTAGAAGCATGCAAGGCTTCTTAAGCATCTAATGCAGATGTACAATGAGGGGATACATAGTGGATGGCGAGTGCAGCTTCTTACCAGCTGGTTGACTTTGGTATTGAGCTCAGAATTTGTGGTGTTGCTGGACTCCAAAGCAGCTGCCAGCTCCTGATTGCGATTCTGTCACATGCACACATGCATCAAAGATAGAAAAATTATAGAAAACAGTACAATAACAACAAACTTGGAGCTCAACTCTAAATAATTTAATGGCATTTGAGGTAGTAGAATATCTATTTTACTTTTGTGTCATGAACCTATGGTCCTTGCCTACATGTGCAAATCATATACACGTTATTGAAAAAATTTATTTAAAACAAAGAAATGAATGACGGAACATTAATCAAATTTAAGATAATTCAAGAATAGAATAAACTCTGACTACAATGTACCTCCAGTTCTCTTTCGCCAACAGAAAGCATAACATCCCCATTCACATATGTAGTGGATGCCTGAAAACAAAGAAAAAAACATGCATTTAATCAATAGCTTGCTTGCTCCAAGACTAGGATGACAATGCTAATACGCATGAACACACTATTCAATATTCATTAATAGGGATGTATCGTTATCCAAGTCTCACGATATGATACCGTCACGGTATGAACCTCACGGTACAATATTTATTGCACTATCATGGGAAAGCTCACGATATGGTGAGGAGGCTCACGATTAGGGATGTAACGATATCCAAATCTCTCTGTACGATATTTTCATGATATACATCTCACGGTACGATATTTATTGCAATTTTTATGGAGGCTGACAAAATTGTTAATATGCTACATTTTCCTCTTAAAATACCTTGACAAGACTTAATCCAAAGAACTAAGACTTAAAAGTGCTTAGAACTGTTATTTCTTCATGTAGTCTACACTGAAATGGAGCAAAGGATCATGGCCTATGTACTTCACTCTGTCTTTTTTTTTTAAACTATTGCTGCACCATAACTCTTAATTTAAAAAAGAGGCTTGTGATTCGATATATTGTGAGGATCCACGACATTATTGTGAGAACTTTGACGATACGATATCATGATATTTCGGTTATTGTTATATCCCTATTCATTAAACTAAAACCATTCATGACAGATGCAATACATCTTAAGGAAGCTGGATGTACATCCAGCATGGGAAGGATGGGTTTCAACTTTGGTGAAATGTGCTCAGAACGGTGCCATTAAACATATTCAAAAGATATAGTTATACATAATATATTCTGTTTTTTGCTTTGGCAGTCAGGGATAATATTTTCATTGCAGCTGGTGGAATGAGGGATTTTTTAAATCCCAATCTCAATAGGTTAATTTAGCATGTAGAAAGCTAGCTATGATAATTCCACAGTTGTTTTGTATGTTCATTATTTGCACAGAGTTAACCCTTTTAACATGTTTTCCTCGTCTTACCTCAGATACCAGGCCATTGAGCTGCTGTGAAAGCTGGCGCAAACTCTCAGTAGAAGACAAGGGTCTGTAGAAAATACAGAATACACAAGGAAAGCGCTTACTGATAGTTCATAAGTCAAACACTAAAAACTATAAGAAGGTCAGGTACTCACTGCAATTCTTCTGTTAAACCTCCATTACTATTTGCATCTGTATATGCCTGCAGAAACACAGAGTGAAAAGAATGAGAGAAGTAGGGACAACAAAGATGACACTGTTTGGAATCGCTAAACATTTCATAAAGAAGAAGTCTTGCTGTATGAGTAGAGCTCTGAGTGGATACCATTTACTTGGTACAACAAAAGGTACAGTTTAGAACTTAAGACCAGTTTCTATTCAAATCTTGAACCATATCAACTGTATAAAATTAAGAAAACAAGACACACACCTGCAGTTCACTGCTGTTACTGACAAACTCATTGTTAGTATTATTAGTGTTAGCGGAGTTAGACACTGCTGAGCTCTGGGCCGACTCCAGACTTGAGTCCTTGTGCATAGGAAGAACTGAGGGCACCAACGGCTCCGCATCAGAAAAGGTCTAGACACATAAATACACATCTTAAGCTCAAAAACATTACAGCTTAGAAGATTTAAAAAGAGAGTTCAGGAAAGTATAGTAGTATCAGTAAGATACAACACAGTTAGTAAAGGTTGGTCCTAAACAATCACTGCAGGAGTCATTTCAGTTATTGCATGCATCCAAATCATGTGACTTGTTGATGCTTTAAATAGAAAGTATGTATTTACATTAGGAGCATAGATTGATAATACAAACATAGCACATACAAACACATATGACCAGTGAGTTGAACAGATACATGCCCAGAATACAGTATAATGAGCTGAGAAGAGGAAGAATGCAGGAATGTGGAAATGCTAGGACAGGACTGTAAAGGAAAACACACAGCTCACCTGGCTGTGTTCAAATGGAGGGAGTACTAGTCCATTGCTTTGACTGAGAGATTTTAATATATTATCAAACTACAGAGAAAAGATAAGAATAGAGAGAAAGCAAGAAGAGGTTATATAAAACAGACATACAGGATACACGGCAGTTACTAGGTACTTTGAAATAACTATTATATATATATATATATATATATATATATATATATATATATATATATATATTCAAGGAGAAGGCTGTGAAATGGGAGAAAATAAAAGAAAAAGCTCAGACCTAACAATGGTTGCAGGGAATCATATACATTTCATTTGTTCATCAGTGTAAAGAACTTTGTTATTTAACCAAAAGCAGTCCAATAAATACGACAATTAGCAGGCTTTAACACTGCAGAAATGTTAAAGTTTGGTAAGCATGGCGAAGAGTTACTGAGGCTTGTATTAGGATCACATGCAGTCACATGACGCTATCCAAATCCATTGCATCAGTCTTACTTAACATACTGTCCAGCTGTACAGCGTACACTATATCATTTTGGACAATTTCCGCCAATCCTAAAACTGAAGGTCATAACTCAAAAACATTCTAGTGAAACAAGGGCAAATCTTAATATCAAAACAGTCTCATGACCAAAGGCAAACTGTGACAGATAATCCCTGTCAGGCCGTGACAGAAATAAACTTATTCCAGAGGCAGGGTAAGCATTTGAGCCTAACTACACAGGACCACATGTTTAATTCTAATTGATTTAATCATTCTTACCCCATAGACATATACACTGCTAGTAAACAGTGGTAACTTTGGCTAACATGCATCACGTAACAAACACACAGGTCAAGTAGCAGCCAAGAAGTGGAGACAGATTAGTGGGGAAGATTAAACGCCTTTTGGCTAAACTGCATCTGTATCAGTAAAATGCTGAAAAATGTTGTGATATTAAGCATCATTATTTTTGTCCCAGTCTCATTCTCACTTTGTTCTTTGTGCATCTAGTGTTTTTAACAAACTAGTAAGTTAAAACAGAAATATAAGAGCAATGAAGCTAAAAGGTGGCTGATTATTGGGCTGTAGTGACTGTCCCTTTTCACTCAAATACTTTTCCTCCACTTACTGTCACATATGGTCACTGTGTCCTAGAATTTCAAATGATTAAAATTAAGCTCATATTTACCTGTGACCTAAACAGACCACCTCTAATTTGTGATCGACTATGATTGTGAATGTTTCCTTTATACATTTGGAATGTGTTTTGTGTTGTCATACCACCGTAATTTCCCTAATTGTAGGTGAACATTTAGAAATGACAGCTTACATTAACATCATCAGGATAGCTTCTTTCTTCAGAGGATAGATCAAGCTGATTTCCTTTAACTTTTCTTTTCTTCTTTGCCCCTGCAACAACCGCTCCTTTTTCTCCCCCAGCGCTGGCAGGAGAGCCTTTCTGCTGAAACTCCTTTAGCTGATGACCAAAGAATAAAGCACATTAGACAATTACACCAAACTTGCCTACACGACTACCTGTAATTCACAACATGCTACATCTAATCAGCAATCGATCCTGTACAAACAAAATCAATAATGCAAATCATATGCACTTATTTATTTGTCATCATGTCGCTGTCAAGTGTAAATGCTGACGAGTCATTTCCTGCGTATGCTCCATGCTCCAGCTGATGGGCCAAACAACCCACCCAGCGCAAGCACACATCAGAATCAGAAACACGGGGTCAGCTGTCAAAACAGTGTCCTGGCACACTGGCGTTACCCCAAACCTGTTTCCGTAATTGACAACTCATTGTACCCGCTGGTGCTAGCTTTGCAGACAAACCAAAAAGCTAAACCGCACTGATATGCAACGACTATACTCATGTACACAATCCATTAATTTAGTTAGCGTGAGAGGCTAGTTAGCTTTAGCAGTTGAGAAAAACTAATTTCAAAAAACCTTAAAGAGACACACTGAGATACGCGCAACTATGATAAATGTGACATTAAATAAGAACTGCATGTATTGTCCTGTTGGCTAACTATAAACAACACATTTGTGAAAGTTAATGCTATCAAGAGAGGCCCTGACAAAGCACCGTGCTCTCCTGCGTTGTAGACCTTCAAAAGTAGCACCAGAGTCTGGACAAGCGGCAGCTCAGAGCTCGGACAACGTGTAATGTCAACAGTCTAGCTCCCGGAAGCAGCTTTCTCTAATTCAAACACATGTCTGAAACACACGCTTATCGTATCAACAATAAAATGAAGAAAACCAATTACTATTTTACCTTTTTCTTAGCTGCAGCGAGTTTTATTTGCCTACTCTGGTCGGCCATCCTGCTGCTGTGAACAACCACCGACCGAACCACGTCACCAGTCTGGAATCTGCCCCCGACAGGGGGCGCAAGAGTGCCCTGTGATATTCACAATTCACAATGTTATAAATCTGTTGACCTGGAGCCTGCACTCAGATGACCGCACTCTCAGATGACCCTTCATTTTGACTTTTTGGTTAGTGATTGTTTCTCAGATGAACAAACATGTGCTACAGGATGAGTTTAATAACATACGCAAAAAAGTAAATAAAAAATAAAACACGCACGCACGCGCACACACGCACGCACGCACGCACACACACACACGCACACGCACACACACACACACACACACACACACACACACACACGCACACGCACACGCACACACACACACACACACACACACACACACATATATATGGTCTATATGGGGTCCTATTTGCTATTCCAACGACAATGTCCATGACTACATTTACCTTTCTTTATTACATTGTTTTGAGCTAATAATCATACTGACAAATCATCATGAATAAACATACAAATAGGCTAATTAAATTTCAAGTTGGAAAAGTATGTTAAAGGCTGTGGTAATAAAGACATGTGGGTTTAGTGTTGCTATCAAATAATATAATAAAAGTTCCATCCATCCATAAATCATCATTATTCACCATAAAAATAGCAATAATTCTTATTGCCTAAATAGTATCCTACATGTTAAGCGACAGACCCAGATACAACCAACATGGTAAAGTTATTCCCAGTTTCAGTGAATACTTAATTCATTCATTTCAATTTGCAAAAAATCTAAAAATGTGAAAATTCCTCTTTTACAACTAGTGTAACGTCCCAACATGAGGAAATGAGGGTCAAAATAACAATATCCACAAAATTTGCAATCAGTGTCCTGTACTCCTGCTTCTATTCATCTTCACCCTACCACCATCAAACAAATTCTGCAGAGGGCAGGACCCAGAGCTGTACTGGAAATCAAATGTGTACACAGTAAACAGAAACTGAGACAGGACTGTACCCTGGGGAGCTCCTACATTATGACCACGATATCAGACAGGGTGCTCACCAGTCGCCTGTACTAAGGCCTGCTTGACAAGTAGTCTGTAATCCATTAGACAATGGAGGAACTGACACTCTTTCTGAGCAATTTCTCACTTATCAGAAATGGCTGGATTGTATCAAAGGCACTGAAGGTGTTGCAGTCTGATTTAACAACTTTTGTTGGTGCCCATTTCCATGTAATATTTTGTAATGTAGGCCTGCTGTTCATATATATCTACAGCAACTGATTCAAAGAAATACAGTGTGGGTATCTTTATTGACCTTAAGAAGGCTTTTGATACCCTCGATCATAATATATTATTGCAAAAATTAGAAAGATATGGACTGCGAGGACCTGTGCATGCCTGGCTACAAAGCTATCTACAAAACCGATACCAGTATGTTGAAATAAATAATAAAAAATCTGTATTGTTGAAAGTAAATTGTGGAATTCCACAGGGCTCGACGCTTGGGCCAAAACTATTTATTATGTATATAAATGATTTATGTTCGGCATCAAAAATGTTCAATTATGTGCTCTTCGCAGATGATACCACCCTCTACTGCTCAGGTGAAGACCAAAGGCAGCTTTTTCAAATGGTGGAGAGGGAGCTGCAGAAAATTAAAGTTTGGTTTGATATTAATAAATTATCGCTAAACATAGAAAAAACTAAATTTATGATATTTGCAAAGCGAAAAGTACAAAATCAGGTACAAATTATGCTCAATAATACACCACTAGAAAGAGTCTTTCAAAATAAATTTTTAGGAATAACCATAGATCATAATTTAAACTGGAAATCACACATAAATACAATTAGGAACAAACTATCCAAAGTGATCGCAATTATATATAAATATAGATATACCCTAGATAAAAACAGTCTTTTTATTATATATAACTCGCTGGTAATGCCCTACATAACCTACGGTATTGAGATTTGGGGCAATACATATAAGACGAATACAAAGCCAATCTTTACCCTACAAAAAAAGGCAATAAGAGCATTATCATTACATTCATAACATTATCAACTTATAACGAACCAACCAATGCATTATTTATAAACCTTCAAACGCTGAAATTTTATGATTTAGTCGACCTTTACACTCTTAAAATCATGTTCAAAGTAAACAACAATCTCCTGTCGAAATCGTTACAGAACATGTTCAAAATCCGAAAGAGCCAATATGAGCTCAGAGGCACGACCATGTTTATTAAAAAGAAAATCAGAACAAACATTATGAAATTTTGTATATCTGTTAAAGGGGTGGAGCTCTGGAACAACTGTACAGAAAACCTAAAATTGTGCACCACTTTCTTTCACTTCATAAAGAAGTTTAAATGTGTAACTCTGGACAGATACATGAAATATGAGACTTAGTTTGTGCTGTAATACTTTGTTGTTCTGTTACTGATTAGCTTGTTTCTTCCTGCTGTATTTATGAAGATGAACTGGTGTCAAGATGAAGCTCTGACAAAGGAATAAAGGGTAGGCATAATAAGCTTAAGCTTCAGCCTGCACCTTTTCGGTCTGTATATGTTAAATATGACTGTTTATGAATTAAAGTCAAAATATACCTGTGACCGAAATAAATAAATAAATAAATAAATATACTGTACATCAAGCTAACCAAGCCTACTGTAGTCTTTATTGCCTCCATGTGGTTGCCAGGCTGCTTCACATTGCATAGTGGGAAGCTGCAGAAATACCAAGTTGAATCTCTTTATACATTAGCTATAGTCAAGTGGAAATAAGATATAGTTCCAAGATCAACTAGCAGCCTTTAGCTGAGAAGGAGAGAGCATTGGTTATTCATCATTATGTAGATCAGAGAAATAGACCACAAGATTGGGTCACCCCTAACAAGTTATAGTTATTGGGCTCTTAATGGGAATGTGTGTTGGAGTGATTAACTTCAGTGTTCGTTTGTTTATCATTTGGCCAGCTTTTACCAACCATAGCCTAGATGTTCATAGTGCATTCTAGAAGTTTCCAATAGACAAGGAGGGGAAATCTTAACCCATTTAGGCTACTTGTCTGAGTTATTCCAATGCGTTATTCTTTGAGAATGTATTCCATTCATTCATTTAACCCAAAGAACATGATCAGTATTGTTGTTGTGTTACATAGCCTGTAAGAGGCCTACACGTTTCGTGGATCTCAGTGACTTTCACTGTCTGTTAGACAATGAAACGGAGATTGTGTGACTAAATAAAACATTCGTGTATTGCTGTTTTAGAGTCTAACAAGGCCATGATAAAGAAATGTATGAGATTATTGAACCACTCTTCCTTGTGTAACAGAGTGGCGTGTCGTTGCACCAACTGTAATCATGCTTGCAGTAGACACGTGGTGGACGCACAGCTAATCAGCGTGGCGCATTGGCCAAGCGCACTGACGTCGCCTCGGACTGAATTTTGCAAATCAGCGACGGCCAGCGTGCTGGCGGTAACCAATCAGAACCTTCCAACGAGCCTCAGCGCAGCCAATCACAGCCCTCCACGACGGGACAGAAGTGAAGGCTTATATATGGACTGAGCCTGGCCCATTGAGTATCAGTTTATTCAAGAACAAGGCAAGAACGTAGGCAACGCTGGGACATTTTGCGGCTTGCGTTTAGGCTACGTAGAGGCCTTTGTACAAAGTAATATTTGAGGTAAGCAGATGTTTATTACTCAATTGTATGTTGTAATTTTGTTTTTCAGCTTAGTATTTTAAGGGCGACTGAACATGTAAGCTAGCCGACGTGCAGCAAATTAATTAATTCTGTCTCAATACGTTCATAGAAGAATACTAAGAAGAATACTATGAACACATAAATATAAGCTGTTGATTCACTTTGACTTTAAATGTGGCCGACAGTGCCCAACGTGGATGCCTCTACCTACCGGCAAAAGAATATGGCGCTCCACCCATTATATTGCTCGACTTTTTTGTAAATGACTTGATGGAAATTTAAGTTTTTAAACATATTATTACTCAGTATGTCTTCTCCTTGTATACGAACATCTTGCTGATATATGCTGTTGTTTTTGGCATCGTTTGCAGGCTTTTTCCCCCATCAATTTTAAGAGAACTAGAAGAGATGAAGCTGGTTTGGGTTATGTTTTTGGTGGTCGGCACAGCATTTGCCGATGACGACGACAAAAAGGAGAATGTGGGCACTGTCGTTGGAATTGACCTGGGAACCACCTACTCATGGTAAATGACCTTTCTTTGAATGAAAATGCTCCTAATATACATTTATCTCACACAACATATTCAAAATATCATAAAAATTTGTCCTTAGTGTTGGCGTGTTCAAGAATGGCCGTGTAGAGATCATTGCCAATGACCAGGGAAACCGCATAACGCCATCATATGTAGCCTTCACTAGTGAGGGTGAGCGTCTGATTGGTGATGCTGCCAAGAACCAGTTAACTTCTAACCCTGAGAACACAGTCTTTGATGCCAAGAGGCTCATTGGACGTATCTGGGGTGATCCTTCTGTCCAGCAGGATATCAAGTACCTGCCATTCAAGGTATAGTTTAAGCTGAAAAGTGCACATGTAGAGCTATATTCTGTGTAAATGTTATAATAAATGTTAATATTCTTCAGGTGTTGGACAAAAAGAGCAAACCTCATATCCAAATAGACATTGGAGGTGGCACCATCAAGACCTTTGCGCCTGAGGAGATTTCTGCCATGGTCCTGACTAAGATGAAGGAGACTGCTGAAGCCTACTTGGGAAAGAAGGTAATGAATAAGTCACATAGATTTGGTAAATATAATTGTCCCACAAACACTGGTATAATAATCAGTTTGTTTTTTTTTAAAGGTCACACATGCAGTTGTCACAGTTCCTGCCTACTTCAATGATGCTCAGCGTCAGGCAACCAAGGATGCTGGTACCATTGCCGGTCTCAATGTAATGAGAATCATTAATGAGCCGTAAGTATCTGGAATAGGAAAATACTTTATATTGGTAGTACAAGTAGAAAAGTAAAATGACCAATATTATTCAATATTTTAGAACGGCGGCTGCTATTGCTTATGGCTTGGATAAGAAGGATGGAGAGAAGAATATTCTTGTGTTTGATTTGGGTGGTGGCACATTTGACGTCTCTCTTCTGACCATTGACAATGGTGTATTTGAAGTGGTCGCAACCAATGGGGATACCCATCTAGGAGGAGAAGATTTCGATCAGCGTGTCATGGAGCACTTTATTAAGCTTTACAAGAAGAAGACTGGCAAAGATGTTCGTAAAGACAATCGTGCTGTCCAAAAACTGCGCCGTGAAGTTGAAAAGGCCAAGAGGGCACTTTCTGCTCAACATCAGGCACGCATTGAGATTGAGTCTTTCTTTGAAGGAGAAGACTTCTCTGAAACTCTAACTCGAGCCAAATTTGAAGAGCTTAACATGGTAAGTTGTAAATTGTTGCCAATAACCACTTGAATTCAATACTTTTTGATGGCAAGAATCTTAAATTATGCTTCTTATGACTCTTACAGGACCTGTTCCGTTCCACCATGAAGCCTGTTCAGAAGGTGCTGGAAGATGCCGACTTGAAGAAATCTGACATTGATGAGATTGTGCTAGTTGGTGGTTCAACTCGTATCCCCAAAATTCAGCAGCTAGTGAAGGAATTTTTCAATGGCAAGGAACCCTCAAGAGGCATCAACCCAGATGAGGCTGTGGCTTATGGGGCTGCTGTGCAGGCAGGAGTGCTTTCTGGCGAAGAAGATACCGGTAGGAGAACTGTGCTTTTAAATGTTAATAGGTGGTAGAAGTGGTCAGAAAAGTAAACTTATTCATGTCATCTTTTGCAGGTGATGTGGTTCTTCTTGATGTGTGCCCCCTAACCCTTGGTATTGAGACTGTTGGAGGAGTAATGACCAAGCTGATTCCCAGAAATACTGTGGTCCCTACAAAGAAATCTCAGATCTTCTCTACAGCATCTGACAACCAGCCAACTGTCACTATCAAAGTTTATGAAGGTAAAAGAATTTGGTGCAGTTTACCGCAATATACAAATCTTTCTAGTGTGAGTTTTCTAAATTGTTTTTCAATTTAGGTGAGCGTCCCTTGACAAAAGACAACCATCTGCTGGGTACCTTCGACCTAACTGGCATTCCTCCTGCCCCTCGTGGTGTACCCCAAATCGAGGTTACCTTTGAAATAGATGTCAATGGCATTTTGCGTGTGACTGCTGAGGACAAGGGCACAGGCAACAAGAATAAAATTACAATCACAAATGACCAGAACCGTCTAACTCCTGAGGACATTGAACGTATGGTGAATGATGCAGAACGCTTTGCTGATGAAGATAAGAAACTAAAGGAGAGAATTGATGCCCGAAATGAGCTTGAAAGCTATGCATATTCTCTGAAGAACCAGATTGGTGATAAGGAAAAGCTTGGTGGTAAGCTGTCAGATGATGACAAGGAAGCCATTGAGAAGGCAGTAGAAGAGAAAATTGAATGGATGGAGTCTCATCAAGATGCTGATCTGGAGGACTTTCAAGCTAAGAAGAAAGAATTGGAAGAGGTTGTTCAGCCAATCATCAGCAAACTTTATGGCAGTGCGGGTAGTCCACCACCTGAGGGTGAGCAGGATGAGAAGGATGAATTATAGGCAGGTTTAAACTTAAATCACTGTCATCCCTTCCCTTGTACTGGATTTTGTTGCTCAACTGACTCTAAAAGTGAGAGGGATGATTGTGAAGGGGGCAGGAAACCACAACCACCAACACCATGCATCATACTGAAAGACTTTAAAGTTTAGATATGTGAAACGGAGTTCTCTTCGCTGGAAGGCGGAGATATTTGTCAGCCTACATTTTGAGGCTTGCTGCTGTTCTCAGGCAGTTCTGATGGGAGGTGGGGAGGGGGGGGTCTGCGGTGGGATGGGTTCAAGAGTAGTGTCTGTGTGTTAGTGTTTTTGTTTTTTCACAGGCAATGTTAAAACTTATTTATTAAATCTGGACATGGATGCTGAAATAAATATTTGATACAAAATTATATTTTGCCTCTTGTATCGCTCATTTAAATTATACCAAGCTATAGACCTTTTATGTCATATGTGAATGTTCAAAATTCTTTAACTGAAGCTAATAGCAAGACAAGTGCTGAAAACATTTTTATTAACCAATTTGTACCAGCCCCAAAATGCCGGTGATTTTAAATCATAACATAATATGAAGGAAATTTGAGTAAAATTCAGTTTACACGAAGAAAAATATTTTCACACAAAACAGTATGGGCTTTACAAAAAGTATAATTTGTGATTAATGCATAAAATGTTCATACAAACTAGTGTTAGGGTTAACCCTAATTTTTTTTTTACTGGACAGTACTTTAACATCTATCAAATGTTATGTTTTCTAACCATGCACCAAGATTACCTGCATTTAGCTGAATGGTTAAAGGCAAAATCAGAGTGACTTGATATTCTGTGACTTATCATTCTGTTCAATACAATTTTCCACCATTTATTAAGTATGAATGTACATGTTTAATACAGTCATGTGATCATAATGTGGTCCAAAGGAAGAAAAATGATGTGATGAAACTAATTTACATATTGATAATTTTAAACATTTAAATTTTAAGAACTTTGGTTTATGTTTTTTGTTTCATTTAATACAGTCATGTTACCAGTGTCACAATACAGTCATCATGGATAACTCCTTGAGTGTCCATTCCTCCGAAAACAAATGCCAAGTGTTTTGTCTTAATATCTTGTTGCCCATCTTCAGTCTTCTCAGAAACTTTCCAAGGTACCAAGCACATTGAGTGATCTAAACGATTTGGTGGCAAATCTCCGTCAAATATCATTTTTGTCCAGTGGTTATTATCTGAAAAAAGTTTTAGAATATTTATGAATCATATAAAGAGAAACCAAATGTCATATGTGACGAACGTACCTGTGTCAAATCTGTACATGAAGTTGCTGGCGCCGCCTGCAGTCATTCCACCAAAGACATAAATGTTCCTGTTTAATACCACAGCAGAGTGTGCAGCTACTGCTGGAGGAATGTCTCCTTTTGTATGGATTTGCTCCCATGTCATTGGCCCTTTAAACAGAAATGCTGTTTTTCTTTTCTGAATTACAATAATTATACATTTTATACAATATTTTGAGAGTACCTGTGTTAAGTGCAAACATATCACTGAAGAATTTTTCACCAGCCATCCCACCATGAATGAAAATCCTGGATCCCACTGCTGAAACTATGTGGCCATGCCTCACAGGTGGGGGTGTACCCTGAGTTTCTGGTTGTGACCATGTAAGAGACACTGGTAAAAAGGACATTGTTTCATGTATAAATACTTGATTATTATAACACTGGGTAGATGGCTAGTAAAATCTGAATAATAAGAAAAGCAATAATAAGATCAGAGTTTTGGTGTGTGTTGAAATCTGGTGACAAGGTTTTTTGTAACTACTAGATTTTGAAGACAACATACAATGGAATTTCAAATAACTTTTCATCTTCAGCATTTTCTCTTTCATATGATGTACATCTTTGCCACATTAGACTGCCATGTTTGCATAATATATATATATATATAAGAAATACAATGAATGGCATCAAATGTAACTGTTTACATGAAACCTCAATAATCTGATATTTCAACAATCAATGCTGAGATTTTTGGTGAGCAGAGTAAGCCTAGCCTGTGATGACAATGACACTGACTCAAACATGAATGAAACAAATTTATCACATGCATAAAATATGTGAAATGTACAAGTCATTGTTGTATTGCAATTGTCCTTTTTGATACAAACCTGTATCAAAGACGTAAAGTTGAGAGTCTAACACAGGCATAGTTCCTGCTGCTCCCCCAGAAAAGACAAAAAGTCTGTCCCCAAGGCAGGCTGAGTTCGTGTGGTATGTCCTTGCACTCGGTGGTTTTCCATTAACTGAAACCATTTTCCAGGAAGGTTTATTTTCTATGAAAAAAAAAATCTATTTAATTATTTATTGCTATAAAAATTATAACAATTCAGCCACGTTTAGACGCACCCTTTAGTTGTATATTTTGAATGCATTGAAGATTACCACTCTGCTGTGCACCACCAAACAACCACAGGCTGTGCGGGCAACTCTCTGGCACAAAGCTGCAGTGCTCATACCTGGCATTCAAACCGTTCCATTTGGGGATGTCCCACTCATAATTATCTGATGGGAGTATAAACAGCATACATAGTAATGGTTGTGTTATTAAGGAAGTAAAGTAAAATGAATGAAAAATACATACCTAAATTTATTATATACGTATAAGAGAAACTGCCGCTAGGGTTGGCGCCACCAACAATGAGTATTTTTCCTTTCTCTCCATTTCCAGATGAATAGAAAGTACATGTGTGACCAACGCTAACACCTGGTGCACTGCCTCTTGGTATTAAAGAATACCTGTTCAAGAAAGAGTTTCATAACATTAAGATCAAAACACAGCTGTAAGATTATTAAAAACTCACCATATGCCCTCTGTTGGTGTGTCGAGTGGATCAAGAACTGGAAGAAGTTCCATATGTAACTGAGTTTAGATAACAGTTGTGAATTACTCAGTGTTCATCAATGAAGAATGGTGGACACCTGCAAAAGAATGAAAGTGGGTGGGGAGGGTCATTTATCAATACATTTGTTGTTTATTAAAGGCGTACTATGTAACTTTTAGTGTATATGGTTTGCTGTCTGCATCGTCTCAAATGGAAATTGCTTCGAGTATAATGTTCCACATTAGGGCATTAAACATCGTATCACCATGGAGAAAAGCAGGTGAAGCCACCAGACCAAATTACAGGTCAGATCAGATTATTACTATAATTGACTCCAGAGTACATAGTGCATCTTTAACTGCTAAAACAATTTCATACACTCGGTCAAGAAGCTGATGCCATTGAAAGTTATTTCTTACCTATGAGAACGATTACTTATTAGTCTGAATGTAGCTGCAGTACCGTTGCATTTCGGTCTCGTGAATGCGAGCTACACCAAAAGACCAACCATCAGTTGAATCACAGTGGTGTTCAATATTTTTGACTGACGTTAGCTAGCTAGCTTCTTTTCTGAATTGCAATTCTTTTTTACGTAAACTACTCGTGGATATGGGACTGCTTAACAAATGCGCACAGAACGTGCGTGCGCGCAATTGCCGTGGCTGCATTGTGTAGCGCATGCCCAGTGTGGTTCTTTAATGAGACACGTGAGCACTTCATAGATTATAGTTATACCATATAATACATTTTTATTAGAGATTCATGAGTTATAATTTTATGAACTTGGACAAACCTAACCATACTGCTGTGCAATTTTTATTAGTTTGTCTTAGAATGGGTTTAAACCTTATTCAGTTAAATGCAACCCAGTATTAGCAAAGAGAGCTTTAGCCAATGTAAGCGAAACAATATACAAGTTAGATATTTTGGAGTTCACAGAAAGGTGACCAACTATGGAGGTGAGGTGACTGATCTTTGCTCATTTACTTAAATGTCCAAATTGCAGCTAGGTCTATCACAATAATTATACTATGCTATATCAACTTATCATTCAATATATGAAAGATGGAGCTTGGAACTCAATATTTATGGGTACTTTTTCTTTGCACAGTTGAAAAGATTTTTGTTATTTATGTTGTAATATGCTGACATAATGATACACTGACATGCTGATATACTGTATATTTTAAAAGTGTTTTATTTGGAGGTATCTAGCTTTATTTTAAATGTGGCATAAAATTTAATTATATCGCAATATATCTCCGTAGCATGTATCGTGCTTCAAAATCGTGTTAAATTAATCAGCCTACATTTTTATTTTCCGAACCCGATGGCTTGGATTGCTTCACTGTAATGCATTACTGACATTTCACAACAGCTTTTCTATCTCCGTGGTGACAAGAAAGTGTATCTTTTTGGTTATAAAAACGACTCATATTGAATACATAAAACAGTCTAATGTGTATATATTTGATTTAGTAGTTTATGTGTTCACTTTCTCACTTGATGCCACTAGATGGCACTAGATGACACTAGTAGAGTACAATTAACATCATACAGCAATGTACTTTAACAGTTGAAGGAAGAAGTGTCAGTTTCAGAGAAAGAAAGCCATTGTTTTCATTCGTTGATAAGGAAAAATGAATCAGGTTCTTTTGCTGGGGGGCAGGCAAAGAGTCAAATGTATTAGGACAATTTAAACTGTAAAAATAAAGAGAGAGAAAGAAAAACATTTGACACATAGGCCTGTAGTTTTTAAGAATTAGTGGTCTTCTCCCTTAGCTAATTAATGCTTAAATTGGAGGATCATTTCATCAGGATCAGCAACAAGTTCACTTCAGTGAGAAGGTTCATCTAATCTTTAGTAGCACAAAATCATAAGGCTGGATATGAGAATCTGCTTTAATTTTTGTTAACAGTGCGTGAGAGGTGTGTTAATTTATCTGGTTTACATGTTCAGACAAAACAATTGCTTTGTCTTTGGTTGATGAAAATTGAAATTGTTAATGAACAAAACTAATAACCTAACCATGGCATGTTCCAGTATCCTACACACATGCAAACACAGACTCACACACACACACACACACACACACAAAATAGTAGCATCAAGTTACCCTTCTTCTCTTCTGCTGTGGAAGCCTCATTTTCAAAATGACGTGCTTCAGAGCTTATCTTCGAAATCTTCCAACAAATTCATCAGCAACAGCATCATTTCTTCTCAATACTTATGGTAAGGATGTTTGTATTTCATTTCCATATAATGTCTGTGTTGATAAAAAGCTCTGATACAATATAAGTTATTTAAACCTTGAATAACTGGTTAATACAGCAAAAATGAAATTAACTTGTTGAAGTATCAGGGAATAGAGATTTTTTATTAGCCTACACTAGATGGTCAGTGATACTGGGTCCCAGCAACATGTGGGCTCATATGTTCTGTAATACTTGTGTAGTAATGAGCCTGACCTTATAAATTAATAAAAAGTGTGGAAGGGCTCAAGGGATTCTTTATTCTATTCCTCAGTGCAGTATCTGTTTTTTTATTATTGTTTATTTTTAGCATGACCCCGAGGAGTACAAATGTTGAGTCAAAACAGCATAATGTTATTTGCCAGTTGTCTTTTCAAATGCTTTTGTGTTAAGCTTGCCTTGTCTCAACAGAGTTTCCAGAGCAGTCGCTTTACCCAGGCCAGCAGTACAAAGCTTAGACAAGTTTAATGTGGGAACGACAAATATCACTTCTACCCAGGGTGAAAGTGCCAGCCGTGTTATTATAGAATGGATTCTATATAGCTGGATTAATCAAAAAAGAACAAAGCCAATGTTAGCAGTAGCCATGTCAACTACAGCAAGTTTCATGACACTCTTAGAAATAGAAGGTTGAGAAAGACTATTAAACATACTGTTTAACCATTTCTTAAAATCTGTAGCACTGAACATAACAGACATATTAAAATTATATTGTTTTAACTTTCAGGTCAGCTGAAATTGTCCATAATTCAGGATCAAAACATACTTTTAGTCAGTGGTAAGTTGCAATTTTCAGATCAGATTTGATGTTATAAAATATGTCTTAGATATCATATTATAACACATTTTCATAAGTAATTGTATAAGGCCTACATTAGTGATTTGGTCTTGTTGGATAAATGTATATATTTTATGATTATTGTGTTTTTTGTTCATTGTCAGTTCTGGAGGCAAGAGGGATTTGGAAACAGTATGAGGGACGATGCGATTCTTATGTGAAGGAAAGATGACACAGCAGTCTAAAATACTTCTCTAAAGTTTTTCTGTTGATTTTAAATAACTTCTGTTCTGCACACAGGTGGGGATGGTCCCACCGACTGGACCAAAAGATAAACAGAAAACTCAAATGGTTCCTCACTGTGGAAATCCAATTTTCTTACAAACTTTTAACTTGTAAGGCTATATATATATATATATATATATATATATATATATATATATATATATATATATATATATATATATATATATATATATATATATATATATCATCACTGTTATGCTTTAACGCATGTCTTTACTACTTACACACAGTGCTGTCAATGATGATGTGCTTCCCAAGAGATTGCTCTTCACAATGTGGAACTCCGATATCAAAACAAGGTTCTCAAAAAAATCTGCTGATTACACAGCTAATAGCACATTAATAATAAGAGCATTCCATATTCAAACCTTGCAGTAGCAGAATATCATTTTATAGTGGTTGTTGTTAGTGTCTGTGAATTGCCACTTGTGCAGTATTTAAATATGTCTGAATGAAGCCTAAAAGTTTAAAATCAAGGTCATCTAGAGAAGGAGGACATATGGGTCAATGAATTATGTGTTTGTTAACTACAATATGTCAAATTTAGAAAACATAAATGTGTTAGGAAATCTCAAAACTCCCTGTATTACTTAGGGGCACAGAGTTAATGTCATTTATTTATCATTGGTAAACAATTAAGCCACAATTTCGTCAAATGCATTGACATCAAAGGGGAAAAAACACCAGATAAATAATCCCATATTTGTGGCAATGACAAGTAGCCTAAAGTAGTGACGAAGAAAATGGTAATTTAGTCCACTGTCTATTGGAGAGCAATTTACTTGATATACATTTCGTATGTCATTGAGTTCAATCCCAAGTCAATTGTTCTCATTTTATAATGTAAGCTCAACCAATATTGATTATAGCTGGATCTGGGTCACAGAAGATCTATTGATTCTACTCAAAAGTTTGGTGAATTTTTCATTGGCTCTTTTTACAGGGTAAAACCTGGAAAGTTAGTTAATTCGTTTTTACACAGGATATTGCATCAGCAGCTACATGATTCCAGTCATGAGTTCCAGTCAAGAGTAGTTTTTTCATGTATGAATAATTAAACACTGCAACTGCTACCAGCTTCTCCAATTATAACTTTAATGCTCTGATGTCCTATGTTACAAATTACTCCACTGACAGGTGTTATGACTCTTTTTACATAACATGTATGGAAATACCATGAGTCCATTAGGATACCTTGAGTATCAGGATAACATACACACTAGTCTTTATCTTATGTTCATGTGTTATTTATTTTTATTTTTTTCAGGGTCAGCTTGTTTTTGGGATGTATGAGCTTCGGTGTGCGTTCCCTTATGAACCCAGAAAAAGTCAGTTTTAGCCCTCCTTTCACTACATATGTGTGCACATGCAGTAGAGCAGGGATTTCAGTTCAGTGTGAATGAATTGGTGACCTTAATAGTTTGGAGTAACACTTCGGGGTTACCAGTGTTACAGCAGCACATCAGTGCTGCCTCCAGGACATGTGAGTCATTTCCTCCACTGAAATGTTAGAGGTCATTATTTGGTTAATAAATTATTATTCAATTTCATTATCTTATTATATTCTGTTAAGTAGCATATGTCATTATTTATTTTAAATAAAACTTAATTGTTGATTACTAAGCCTGAAAAAATAAGATTTCTGGCTAATCTTTTGTATATGTTAGCTTTTCATGTTCAAAACCTGCATATCCAGCGACCTCCTATTTTGCTTTATGCAGAAGGAGTTTTATCAGTTAGTTGTTATTTCTTGTATTTTTAGTTTCTCTTACTTGCACAAAGTATCAGTATGTCTTGTCATTTACACACATGCAGTTAGTTTACCTGCCTAATGCTTTTCCTATGCCACATCATCCAATTGAACTATAAACCAAGAGAGCTTTTTTCACATGCACAGGGTAATATTGAATGATAGTGTAAATCCCTTTCTGACTTTCAGGACATATTCCCGCCCCTCCCCCTTCTTCTATTCAAGCCCTGCCCATCCCTGCATGTGTCCCACAGCCTGCAGAAATCTGTCCACTCACATAAGATGCTTTTAAATGGAGATTATTGTCACTGTCCATAGCGTCACATAATTTAGTACAAAAGACGGGGAGGTATTTCTTTCTCGTCCTGCTGCTTTTCTGTAATAAAAGTGAGATGAAGATACATGAGTGTCACAACCAGTGGCAGGCAGTTTTTTTGTCCACATCAACAGGATTACAGGTCAGGTTGTCTCTGCTGTCACACTGGAGTGCTTACTCCAATGCACATACACTAGAAATAAAGATGTGTGCATAGAAATCATTCCAGTTAAGTTATTTGCCATCTGGCTCTGAAGTCAGAGGTGCAGAACAGAGCTGGAGTTACATTGTAAGCAGTGTACGTATGTCATGCAAGCCCTGGGGGTCTGTCCAGTGGTTGTTAGCATAGATTTTTGCCTCAGTGGTGCCCTGGCGTCCCACAATCATTTCAAATATCACTCTCATTAAGGGACTATTTACACATCTTAAATTTACATTAGATTTACTTTTACGTAACAGGGACATAACAATGTTTTGTATGTTGTAGGTATTTGAAGGATGGTACTACTTACTTGGAGAAGACCTAGGATGCAAGAAGCATCTCAAAGTGCCCACACCACACAGCAAAATAGGTTAGTGTGTGACTATTACATTTACATCAAATGGAGTACTTTGTTAACATTTTAAGAGAAAAAATCTAACATATTTTTAAAACGTGCAAAAAATAAAATAAAATAAATAAATAAATATATATATATATATATATATATATATATATATATATATATATATATATATATATATATGCTACTGGTTTAAGGGGAAAAGTCTTTTTTAATTTGAAATAACATGACGAAATTGATATTGATGAATATTTATTATACAAGACACCATGCGATCATAACAGTTGTTTATGTGCCAATGGTGAATGAGGCTGTGCCAGGCATGTGCCCGTAAGTCCTTATTAGTCGAGAGATGATTGCATTTGGAGCAAAGGAAGGATTAAAGAAAGATGGAGGGATTGAAGAGAGCAAATGAGGAAAAACAGAGAGAGTTGGAAAGAGGGAGGGGTCAGGATGAAAGCCCAGGACGTCACACAGACACAAGAGAGTGAGAGAGGGAGCGCTGTGCTGTACCGTCCGCTGCCCCCCCACACACACCTCACATACTGACACAATTGTTTGGAAACCTACTTCTCTTCTATGAACCTCTGAGAGTCTGCTCTGTTTCTTCTCTGCCCATGTGTGCTTTCTGTCCTGGTGGATGCTGTTGTTGGAGGATTGTGTGCTGGAGTTATGCCTCTCTGTGCCTCTCATAAGGGCAGCCTAGTTTAGGTGAGTGCTTTTCTCCACATTTTGTCTGGAGTAGATATTATGACACTCTTCCCTTTTCAAATGACTGAATTCTATGCAGTTAAATTACTTCCAAATGTGATTCATTGAAGTAAGTCTAATTTTGAATTAAAGTAGTTTTGCTGTTGTTATTTTTTTATTGTATGTATTAGATTTTTTTCCCACTAAAACAAATATTTAGATTAACCTAAATGGGCTGTATTTTTTAAATCCCATGACAGTGTGGTAAACAACACATTATCCAACCCGCAAGCAGTTAAAGATGCTCATCTGAACCACACTAACCTGCTTCATGCAACTTTAAAATTTGTTTTATGCTCTTATAGATGGGCTTGAGAGAAGAGCATCATATTTAATGAGACACTGCAAGCTCAGAAGCTTTCCATATCTCAATAATAGAAGTTTGACTTGTTATCTTTGTTCAAAGAGTTTGTAGTAATTCTGTGGAATTGAAGGTAAACTAAACCCTAACAAATACTATGAAATGTATCAATTCGGAACTCAGCACACAATCAGTATGAATGGCTTTTTAGTGTTTTTACATTTCCCAGTGGCAACAGTGGCCCACTCCTGTCCCATCTGATACATGTGTGTTAGCGTGTGGATGTGGGAGGGGGCGGCTGAGTACTCGTGCATGCACTTCTGTGTTGCCAGCTGGCTGAATGTAGGCCATGAAGCACTGCTGTACTGTGGCATGTACTAACGAGGCAATGGCCAAAATCCCATCCATAACCCAGTGCCCATCTTGGAACAGTTTGTCTGGCTGCAGACCCTGTTTGTTTGGCAGTTTTATTTGTAAAATATAATTTTTATTTATAATATATTTTTTCTCCTATATTTTAACATCTTAGAAGTCTAAGATACTTCTTCATACTTCTTTAATATTCTGTGGTATATTTGAGAGATATTTACCAGGACATCTCGTGCCAGTAATACATTTATACAACTTGCTGATGATTGACACCCTAAGCACAAAGCAGCTGTGTATGTTTAGAGATGTGAGTCATAACAAAATATGTGTATAAAAATTATATTTTGTTATAAAAATGCATGTGGTGTGAGAACTCATCTCGTAGCAAATAGCTGTAACATGTACTCTCATGGACTGGGTCCCAAACAGCAATTGAAGCCTGAACCAACAGAACTCATAGAGGCCATTACCTGGTTTATTGCATAGTATCTAGAAAGTATGATAACATTCTGCTATGAAACTGAAGAATCAAATTGAAAACCAAAACCCAAAATGTAAACATAAACATATTTTGTATAATGTCAGTTGTTTTGGAATTAACAATAAACACTATTTTGCATTATAGTGGCTGGCTAAGAGTAACATTTGATTATAACATGTTTATCTGAGAAAACCCCCACATAAATTACCTTTAAATAACATTTATTAATAATTATGTTGTCATCAACCTTGATTGTTAAATGATAGTTTTTGTACCCTCGAGCCCTATTGTTACTTTGACAGAGATGGCTCTCTTTTTTTTTTCATGATTCCCTGCCTCTATAACAAACCCTATCAACCAAACACTGACAGCTAATTACACTGTTGGACAAAAAGGCTGCTGTCTTAACTTGGCTTAACGTGAGTTGAGAGGCTGAAATTGAAATGCAGCGTTGACTGACAGCCAAACATCGTTTCTAAGATGGAGTGACAGAGCAATTAGTAAAATTCTTTATACTACACATTTTGTATAAAGTCCATGAAGTGATTGTGCAGACTGCTGTAATCGTGGTATTTTCGAGATGATAGTTGCATTTTTTTCATCAATTAAACAGATTTCAGGAGTCAGAAAGAACTCATCTGTGCTTACATTGACAAATGCCTGACCCGTTATGACATGTACGTGTGTGTGCCATCACCATGCCTAATGCATACCCCTCTCAATGTGGGTCAGGTAGTATGCATGTGAGCCAAAGCAAAAATAGACAGACCTGTATGTCTCATCTGCATAAAATCAGTGTTTACTAGTGTTTACTTTTATGCAGAATGCTTCATACTGAATACACTACTGTAAACTGTCAGCTTTTCCAGATGGCAAGCTGCCTTTTCAAAACACCAGATTAAAATGTAGTGATTAACTTATAGACAAAGGGGGGTTGGGAATTGTTACTGTCAAAGCTCTATCTATGCTCACACAAAGCAAAAATTGTACAATCATGTGACATAGTTTTCTGGTTAGTCTAAATATGCATAGTCATAGTGAAGGGTAGCTCTGACTCCAGGCCGGTGTCTTCTTGATTTGAAGAGAAATCTTTGACCCAACAGCTTCCACTCTAGGTTGTTCTTAAGCTGTTCTGACACAATTCTTTGACATTATCAGATATGTCAGGTCAGTATGGCACTAAAAGCCACAGAAATAGGAAAGAAATCTTCACAGTGTAACCAGGAACATTTCTATTCTATATTTGAAATAGAACTGGTAAAGTAAGAGTGAATAACAATAATAATAATAATAATAATAATAATAACTTTGAATAATTTAAGTTAATTGCAAAATCAAAAGAGTATTTTTATGGACATTACTTAATAGTAATTTTGGTGTTGCCCTTCTTTATATAAAAGAAAATGATATTCCATGTCTGTTTATGTTGACTTTAGAAGTGTGTCTGTTCACATTATTGTCGGTTTATGTATATCCCTTATTTGCCTTGCATACCTTTTGCCATTCAAATACTATTTTTGTTGCAACCAATCTGCTCTCATTTCTAAGTGCAGGCTTTTCATATACTACTCAAATCCCCTTTACAAATCATTACGGACAGGCATGCAACACTTGGACAACAGAGAGCAGACAATCCTTCTTGGTTGTCATGCCATTTTACCATGTACTAAGCTGTCAAAGCAAATGAACTCCATCCCTATGGTTGCTTCTGGCCCCCAGTGTCTGGGAATCAAACCCAGGACTTTCTTTCTATGGCAAGAGTGCTAACCAATAAGCCATCATGCCAATCATGTCAAGAAAGTGCCCATATTAGTTCACTGAACACTGTCAGGGAAGCTGCAACTGCAATAATTAAGCTTCCTCACAGCTATAATTTTATATACCTAACAAATACACATTCTAAATTCCAAATGTCACTGATATTGCCAAATTTACTATATTAAAAACAGGGAAGTTGTCCTTGCCTTCCTGACTATTGCTGTATCTCCATCAAATGTTTATTTGTGTGTGGGTGACAGTGGAAGAAAGGAGCAAGTGCTGCCATGAGGGACTTTGGCAAAGTCAAGGGTTTTTTTATGTTCTGGAAGTCTTTAACAAGTTTGACTAATTCAGCTTCTGAAAAGCTGGTCCTACAGAGTCTTTTTGCACATTTTCATTTCAAGTGTTTCTTTAATTTTGCAATGTTCCTGATCACTCTTCTTCTACAGCCTACTTGTGTATACTTTTCCCACTGTTTGTGCTGACTCCGCCTTTCTTTCCCCCGCTTGTGTGTCACTCATGTTTTTCCTCTTTCTCCTGCGTTACTGATGTCCTCCCTGGACAAAAGGCTCCTCTCCTGGGCTTGATGCCAGCCAGGTTAGCTCCTCCATTATGTGGACCCCCTGGAGCTCTCAGATTCACAAATTGACAGGTTTGAAAAAGCCTTAAGGTTACCCTGGTAGCTGCGAGGCTGGGAATAAGCTGTGTAACTTCAGACAAATAGAAGGCCTGAATTAATAAGAGCGGACAAGTTCTTGTGTCCTGTGGGCCCTTTATATTTTGTGCATTTTGCCAAACTCATTTTAAGATTTTTCACCAAGAACAACACTTATATGTATTTTTTGCAGCAGAATGTTTTGATGTAATAGTTTTATCAAATTAAAATCTTTAAAAATATGTTGTGTCTAAAATAATGATTGATCGACAGCAACTTTATGTTCAAAATGTATCCTGCCTTATAATTGCTTTGATTACAACTTGTTTATATTCCTTTAATAAGACACTTCAGGAGAAATATCTTCATATATTGTGAACATTATGTCTTCCTGAAGGTCTGCAGAAGGTTACTGATCCAGCTGCACTTGTTCAAGTCACACTTGCCTGGTGGGTAGGTTTGGAAAATGACATTCCTCACACTTGATTTAGAGTGATGGCAGAGAGATTTCTCTCCTGTGGTGATGGGAGCGGGATTGTGATGATGAGTATAAAAAGGGAGGGGACAGTAAAAGACAACTCTGAAATGGAAAGCCAAAACTAAAATGGACAGATGCAAACAGAGGGAAGAGGACAAAGCCGAATGAAATCTGTGGCCCAAAGCTGAATGCTGCCTTTATGAGCTATAGTTAAAAGGACTCTGAGGCGTGAGTCCCAGTAACCATAGTAACCTGTGAGGAGCCCTGTGACGGACGGATAATAGAGTGAGAGAGGAGTTCCTTCTCCCTCCTCCTCTCTTGTTCCCACTCCACTCCTCTGTCGGCCAGTTTGGTGAATTCTCACATCTTATGGGATTTTCCTTGACTGGGCTGGCATGTTTTTGCCTTTTATCTACAAGTTTGAAACACAGCCTGCAGATCACTGCTCCAAACAACTCTTGCTATAATTGTATTTTTGTTTTTGTACAGTTTATGGACTCCAAAACTTATTTAAAGACTATTTTGTACATTTTGAAAGCTGTTTTTTGTTGGCACAGAAAAAATGTGCTCCAAAGGCACTGTCTCAGCCCGTGATTCTTTTGTCTACATTTCAGAGGCTGTGCTGTCAAACCATGGTGCTGCCTACGAGACTATCGACCCAGAGAATATGCAATGCTTAACAGTAAGTAATATAATTATTTTCCAATTCTATTTAATCAAGAAGATCATTATATTATATTCATACTTTTTATGTGAAGCTTAATATTGCTTGTTACAATTGTAAAACTTCTGCAGAAATGCATTCGTATTCAGTAAGTACTAAAATGATAAAAGAATGTTTAAATATTGGGTTATTATTATCTTGTTTGTTGTGTTCTTTTTTATTCTATTGTGTGCATTAGTAGATACCAAGATTCTTTAAAATAACTACAATTGACCCATGACATTCGACAAACTCATCATGCAGAAACATGCCTTCAGAAAGAGTTACATGTTACATTCTCAGTAACCATAGCAGCTAATTGAATCATGCTTTTGAGCTTTGAGCTGTGAATGGTCAAAGATGTAACTTCTACAGAAACCATGTCAAATTGCTTATTCATCTGTGGTCAGTGTTGCATGTTGCTTTGGTTTTTTTTGACCCTTAGTCGAGTGATATTAGCTGTTAGCTAGTTATTCAAATAAACAGTTACCACTTATGTCTATTCTAGGGTTTAGAGCCAGACAAATTATGGAACAATTGCTTTTATAGTGAAAATGAGACACTACAAACAAAACAGTTTGCTCACTGTATATCCAAACTTTCATATGGGAAGAGATTAAAAAGAAATAACCCAATTTGCACGTAAAATTTTGGAATCAGCAATAACAGTTATAAGGCACTTTTCCGTTTTCCCCCCTCACACTGTAACCCAAAGCTTGCCCTTTAAAAGTACGACATACAGACCCTCCACTCTTGTGCTTAACAATATTTTGAATTTTTCTTCAGAATAATTAATATTATAGTTTCCTGCCAGAAAAGTTAAAAATGATTACATTTTAGTTATTACCTGTGTATTTATTATGTTAGGAGAAGAGTACCAAAGTAGTGGTATACTTAAACTAGTATTGAATGTCTTCTGACTGTAATTTTGTATGTTCGGCTATTTTAGTCTTGATTATGTTATTATCAAATAGAACTGGTTATTGAATGTCAATTGGGTTAGTGTGACAAGTTGACTTACAGAATCCTGATATACTTCCAGATTTTTAATACCATTTTAAAATATTATTTCTTATGTGCCTTATTGGACACGTATTCTAACACTAATTTTCCCTTTGTTCTATACTTTATCACAAAAACATATTTAAGTATTTATAAATGCCTTTACACTGTGGTGTGGCGGTGACACTGCCTATTTATTGTTTAAGTTGATTAAACAACCACGTGCGATGTGCTAAACTGTTTTAAAGCTCTGCTCTGAGTTGTCTGATCCATTTATACCATTGTCCCACCACTTCACTTTTAAATCTGACAACACTTTGGCCGTCTGTGGATGTTCAAAGCATTAGTTATTTTCGTTTGAGGTGAAGCTAGTCCTAACAGTAGATTATTTGTTTGCCAGTTGCAATTGTGATGCTGACAGCATTTTGATATAGAACAGTTGCTTGAACTACCTGTATATTGAACAATAAGTCAATATAGTAATTATCGTGACAGGCTTGATACCAAAAATGTTTCAGTATCTGTAGTACCTTAAATTATTTCTCCAGTAACAGTACCTTTTTACAGTACCCAACCTCAAAGAGCAAACATTTACTGAAGACTTTTACTCAAGTCTTATTTATTTAGTTCGCCTGACCCAACCCTCACATTGGTCATACATGTAGTGAGTAAACAACCTCATTCTGAGTTATCCACTTCTATACCATACAATTAGTTAAAGGCTGTTTTCCTCCATACTTCCGCCACCTCTTGCTCCCCCCCCCCCCCCCCTTTTTTTTTTTTCTCTTTATCTGTGTCTGAATCGGAGGAATGGGGATTGTGAGTTTGTGTGGCACTGTCTCAGGGGAGCCTTCAGCGAGGGAGAGAGGGGCACATTCACAGACTAAATTAGTGGAGAATTGAAACCTTTTAGACTTTCTCCTCTGTCCTCTGTTGGTTTTCTGTTGCCTTGTCCTTGCTCCTTTACAGACCACTGCCTCTTCCTTTTACAGCTGTGAGTCCGCCTGTTTTCCTCTTTCTCTACCCTGTGACCATGGGCCTCTTTATGCAGAAACCTTGTGCCCCCGAATAATACTTTTAATCATGTCCTTGTGCACATTTGAATGTTTTCATGGAGATTTGGGACACTGTATTATGAAAGGTTGTTTGAAGTTCAGCATGTGTTTTTTTTAGTTCAACTTTTGTAAAAAAAAAAAAAAAAAAAAGTAAGTGAAATATATAACTTCCTAGACCTGGTATAAAAGTATTGATTGTAGGAAAAAGTGATGATTAATGCTAATTGCAGCCCTGATTTTATATCATAATAATACAAATTTTATGTATAATATTTGTAGAGGCAAATTGTGAGTACACAAGTCTGAAACGCTGAAAGATGTTAGTCTTGTATGTGCTTCAAGACTATAAGGCATAAGAATAAAAGGTTGAATAGTTCTTTGGCAGGAGTTGTGTTTTCAAGAGCCTTTTGTTGAAGATGTTATGATTATTTTGTGTGTATATGTTCAAGATTCACTAACACATTTATTAAAGACACAGCATGTAACTTTGTGGAGGTGGCATGTGCACATGAACATTTTCTATTGAGATAGATATTTCATAACATATAGTGGAATATTATTCCCGAAGGAAAACCATTTCTTGAGAAACAAACACAAAGGAGACCCTCCTACAAGCCAAATAAGAGTCAGGTTTGTGGAGATACAATCCCACTCACAGAAAAGGTAGTAAGGAGTTTTTTAGTGCCATAAAAACTACATACTACAATCATTTTTAACACACTTTCATTTTAATCTATTTCTTAGCACAAAAGTTACATATGGCATCTTTAAGTAAGTATGTTATGAGTGAGTACATGAATGTAAGTAGCAGTTTGTTTCAGTCAGGACAAAGTGCCCTGCATCTCTTTGCCTGTCACTTATCATTAGGTCCAAACTGAGCTCTGTGCAAATGGGCCTGACACTTGTGTCTGATTATAAAGATGGGAAGGAAGGGTGAGGTGAGCCAAACAGAGGAGAGAGGTTAGTTTTTTTTTTTTTTGGCTGATGTTCCAGGAAGAATGAAGAATGGTTATGGCTTTATAGGCACAAATATCCCTTTGTGAAGATTTAGGCCTGTTGATGCCCGTGTTGCCCTATTTCTGCCCTGTTTCCTGCTTTGTGCAAAATGTATGATCCTTGGCCTTTGCTGAGCTGCACTTTCCCTCTTTTTTAAGATGCACAAAGCTGTACAGTTGTCTGTGGTTCAGGTGTGTTAGTGGGTCATCTTTTAATCATGCCCTTAAGCTAAGCAGAGAAGCCAGAATTACTCACAAGTCAGACTAAAATACTGCCATCTAACGTTGTGGTAAATGCAAAAATACTACATGGCTTTTGTATTATATCAGTCCCATATATTACAGTTGTTCTTTATTATTGAAATAAATTAAGTTAGTGATTTAGAAAACACTTGATGATGATAGAGGTGCAATTAATAAATACATTTCATTTCACTGTGTTTATATTTCTGAACAATTACTTAAATAACCATGAACTTCCGATAAACACATTCTTTCCTTTTCATTGGCTTTGTGAAAATGTTTAGTCTGTTCAGTTGCAAGAGAAAGATTGGTAAAGAGCAGAGACCCCATGCTACTAAACACCAGATTGGCCTCGTCTGGCTCTGAGACAAGCTTTTGAAACTCGTCTTTCACTCCTCTCCCCAAGACAGGCTTTATACTCCCCCTTTCTTTGGTTACTCTAATCCGTTCCTCTGCTTATTTAGAGGTGAACAGCGCTGCATGAATGAGGCAGAAAGTGTTTTTTGTAAGTTTGACGGGTAACCCTCGCCCCTTTGAAAAGACAAACAAGAAAAAGCCACCATTACCAGTATAAAAGGCATCTTGAGACAACAACCGTTTCTGGGACTTTATTAGTATTGTTTAGTCTAGTGTGGTGTCACCTTCCCCCTTTCCCTTATTTCTTAGCATGAGCCAATGAGCCAAAAACCCAGCAGTAAATAAGAGAGGCGGGCTGGGAATTCATGGGGTTGTCAAGGATTAGATTGGCCGCAGTTGTACCTCTAAATTAACTAGCTTTTTCTACATTGCTCTTGAGGTGCTTGAAGTTGTATAGTAAAATTACCACCACACAGCTATAGCTAAATGAAAACACAAATTAAAAGTCATGTTTTGATAAGAGAAAGAGGAGTGTAGATTGTCAGGGTTCACAGACCTGTGAGTTTCCGTGCACTGTGAGAGCGGTGGAAATGGAGGGGGAGGCCGCTGAAAGGAAAAGCAGAGGAAATATGGAAGTACAAATCATAATAAACAAGTATAATGTTTGGATGGAGACCTGGGACTATGGGAACTGAGGTATAGTTTGGCTGATGAAGTATGTGATGCATTCTAATTATGTCTACCAAAACAATGGCATTGTTTTGTAGTGGATCAGTTTCATTCAAAATATGTGGTCTTGAATTGCATCTGAAGTTTGTGGCTGTATTAGTTTCTGCCAATGTAAACCTGTCCCACTCATTCACACACGTCCCGCTCATGCCACCTGCATTAGTCACATAATCGCTACTGAGTAAGAACAGGAGGACCTCTTCCAACCTCATAGTGTGGACTCAGGAAGCAAACTGGTCTTATCGGGAATAGACACACAAAGCTGTCCTGGCCGTGTGATGGCGAAGTCTCCCATAGTGCTTGTGTGTATGTGCGCGGCGGTGGGAGGCACTTCCTCCTATTCTTCTGCTGTTTGAGAGTTCCCATGAGCGCCCTGCCAGGAGCGACACTGTGGCCTGAGCAGGCCAGACTAGCACTAGTCTCGCCCAAACGACGCCGGAGCACCACCGTAAACAGCTGATGAGGTGGGCTATTTCATCTTATGTTTGAAGAATACAGAGATATCGGACACAAATTCAAACGGATTAACCTTATGCAAGTAATCGAATTTAACTTGGAAACTATCGAAGAATGGATGCTTAACAAGACCACATATAAACAAAAGGCTCCAAAAAGTGCATTTCTACTCTTGGAGAACTTTACGACATCTGAATGGACTTGAGTGCTACGCTTAATGGAAAAAACAATTTTGCATAAGAATTGAATTTTGAAGAAAGAAATAATCAAGAATTGGAGAAATCTTCAGACACATCTGTTAACCAGTTATCCGGACATTATACACTGTTGTACTGCATGTACTGCAAAGCTAGTTTAGTTTCCTGGGTTTAGTTGCAATGATCCATAACACGCTGAAGTCCTCTGGGACACCTGAACACAGTCCAAAAGTGTCCCACTCGGCTGCCCGGAGGAGGCTCTGGAGGTACTCAGGCTGCAGGGGGGCCGGCCCCGGAGAGACCCAGCGGCACAGCGTCTGTGTCCTGTCTGCCGACCTGAACGGTGCAGGAGGAGGAAGAGGAGGTGTACTGCACACGATTCATGGGCTGTGCCACCTCTGCATCGGCTGTAGACTGCCTCAGGTGTGTCAGTGCTACCAAAATGGGGTCACAAGGAGGGTAAAGGAAGTATTAAAAATTAAAGATGACAGTTATATCTCTGCAATCTTCTATATTTTATTTACAAGCAATAAACCCGAGCCTATTATTTATATATGGCCATCTATTTATTACAAGTTTGTAACTACAGTACATCCTTGTTTTGAAGTGTAGCCACTGACACATTGCATTTTTAAAAAGTCGTTGCAACACATTTAAAAAGCAAAACCTCTTGAAGCAAGTCTAGCAGTTCTAAAGGAAGCAGAATTTCTTGAGCACCAGACCTTGTTTTTACATTATTTATATTTTGCCCGACAAGAAAAGAATCTGATGGAAAGCAAAGTCGACAGTGCAAGGCAGACTATATGAACCAATATTTTAAATTAACATAGCACATTATGACCTATTTTTTGTAAGTTAAACAAGTTTCTTAATTATACCTGAATCACATACCAAAGCTTAAAATTTGATCAAGAACATTGCATTTGACATGATAAACATGTTAGGCAAATCTCATCATAGACGTAAGCATTTACAATGTATCTCTCTGTGTAGCTGTGTAGTGTCTTATGCAGTACAGACTGACCACATTTGTGTTCATGACTGCATGCAACTGCAGTCATGTTGAAGCTGATCACAGGGCAGCATGCGGGAAAATGTGAAAGACGTGTGCAAACATACAGAAGATGCAGAAGTCTATATTTAGATTCAAACAATATTTATTTCAGTCATGCCACTTTCTCATGATTGAAAATCTAGTAATTCATCAGTGCTCTCATCTTATGTTGTTCTCTGGGCATTGCAATGACATTTTTTTCTGTAGTGTGAGTCTTATCACTCTGTCAACATTAAAATATGTAGCCAAGGAAAGATATGATTTAGTGGGATGTAGTTTGCTATTTCCTTTTTTGTTCAGACAATTGTTTCTTGTTTTTAAAACAGTTAATAACTCTAATAACTAATTGTGGCACAGGACACTTTAAATTTGGGGACAAAAAGAAGTCGAAAGTGTAGCAGACATTTTAGGGCCATCACCCACTTGAGACCTGTGAATATCACCGGATCTGATGCATCTTGGTCATGTACCCTGTGATCCCACTGCACATGTACAGTTTTGGTCATGTCTTCTTCATCCAATATTCACCACATTAGATGGAAATTAGAGGTTCCGAATGAAACTATATTGACTTTGGTTTTTCACATACAGTGTATGAAGAGTGACTTATATACTGACATACTGTATATATTCTCATTCATGAATATATTCCAGTTAAAGAATACTCCTGACTGTTCAAATTAAAGTTCCTACATTTACCTTGTTTTGTAGGTGACCATCCATCGAGGAAAGGATGGATACGGCTTCACCATCTGCTCAGACTCGCCTGTAAGGGTGCAGGCTGTTGATCCAGGTAAGTCAGATTTTTGTATTATTCATATTTTATTATAATACATTATTAGGTTTAAGCTTAAAGTTTCAGAGTTGCAGTAGCTCTAAATGACTACTGTTTTATCTGTTTTCACCAACAGGGGGTCCAGCAGATCTAGCAGGTCTACAGCAGCTGGATACTCTCCTGCAGCTTAATGGTCAGCCAGTGGAACAGTGGAAATGTGTAGATTTAGCACATGCCATCAGGTATTAGCTCTGATGTTAAAACAATTAATCATTTTGGTATGCTTCGAGAATGTATTAATAGTCCCCCAAGTAATTTTTATAATACCAAGTATAGTATACTTTATATATGCATTTTTTTTCTTTACAGAAACAGTGCTAGTGAAATCACACTAGTCGTGTGGCGCACGGGGCCTTCATCAAAGCCTAACTTTGAGGGCCTGATCCACCGGCCCACTTATAAATCCTCCACTTCAAACTACGATGCACCGTCACCGCCAACTCGCCGACGCGATGCCAGCGCCAGTAAAACACCTCCAGCTGTACCCCCCCTCCCGGCTCATCACAGAGCCACCGCTGCTCGCAGGCTGCTGGTCAATGGCTCGGATGGAGGGAACAGCAGTACTTTAGGGATGGGGACATTGGCCTGGGGGACCCAGGGAGGCTCATCTGAAGAACTGGATGGGAAGCCCCGCCTCCTTCATCATCCCACAGCCACACTGAAGGGGACCAGGGTGAAGGCATCTAACGGAGACAACTACATCATCCTGTCCCCCATCACTTCTGGAGGCCAGGTACCACAGAGTGCTGGTGGACTCCATTTCCATCATCTTCTTCGTCCTCCCCCTTATCATCATCAGAATCATTTGGGGGCTCATCCTAGATATGTCTCTTTACCTTACATCCCTGGTGCAGATAGATAGAAGTACAGGAATTGTCTGTCTGAACTACTTGCCATCATTTCAGCAATTTCAGATTTAAGTATTTCCATATTGTTCACTATTGTTTTATTGTGTTTGTAGAGGAGATCAATTTTGGCGAAGAAACATATAATGTGATATTACTCAATATCATAATCCAAATATTTGTAATGTACCAGTATTTGTATAATTTGTAAATGTTAAAATAACTTACAAAATATAAAAAATAGGTTTTGTAGTAAACACTTATGTAAAATGTTTTTCATGCTTAAAATGAATTATATATCAGAATACATAATAAAGTGAATACATTAAATTTAAAGACTTTTTTCCTCAGCTAACAGTGATGCAGCATCAGATACTAACCTTTTCTACATCCACAAATATGGGAACTAGTTTGTATTTTTAACAATTTATAGTTTGGAGTGCAGTCATGGCTTTTATAATATTGATAAACCTTCTGTTTTACTTACTAGTTGTTTGTCTGGTGTGACTTTTGTGTGCTGTGCATGTGATTATCTCAGTCTGCTACATATTCTTTCAAGATGGTCATTATTTACAGTAAGCTTTTAATCTTGAAATAACACTTAGATGTAAAAAATAACAAGGTTATTTAATAATGTGTAAGATGCCATGACTTATAATGTATATAGTGAGTATACAAATGATGTTCTTGCTTGATATTTAAAATAGTCATATGTTATAAAATCTCCACATCCTGCTGGTGATTTTGAATTATGTCACTCTTTAGTGTGCCTCACATGCTGGCCTTGTGAAGCACGGACAGCATTCTATCTTTATTCAGTTGATACTAATCTGTCATGACAGGTGAACTACGTCACTGTCTAAGATTGGCACTGTGCAAATGGGCTCCAAGTTAAAACTGAACTCTACTAGGCACAAAAACATTTTTATTGTCATTACTATTTCATACACACTCTCACACTATTTCTTCACTATTTTGTGTTTACATACAGAAGCATTTCATCCCAATTAGACATTCATAAGCCAAAATAGGTTTAAAATAAGTAGCAATCAAATGTTGTTAATGAGTTCAAATGTGTATGTTTCAGGTGATGCGACCAGTTTACCAAGATAACCAGGGTACTTTAGGTAAGATACACTATTTTGTTTTCTTAAGTAAAGTGTCCGCATAACTCCTCAGTTATCCAGGCCTGCTCTGTGGGGACAAAGGCTTGTCCAGTTGACAAAATTTTTTTTACTCTTCTGTATTATACCGTTTTTAATAGTTGAATAAAAGTTATCATAGTTAATTATTAATCACGTATATATGTTGTTTTTTTTTTATATATATTTTAGCCGCTAGGTTGTATCCCACTCAACAGGCGCCTGGTCCGGCCTCACAATCACAGAGTGGAGGGGGTTTCTCTGGTGGCACGACAAGTGGGGGAGGTTTTTCAAGTCGCACCGGCTTCCTTCGGAGATCCAATAACTCTAAAACTACTAAGACAGCGTCCACATCTACTAACTCAGCCCACTACCAGCAGCCAAGTGCCAACTTCGCCAATTACCAGAACTGTACAATTGTCCGTTCCCACACACCACACGGCAACTATGGATATGTGAAAGTGGCACCTAAGATTCTTATATTCCCCATCTTTGTTCAGGTGGGTCACTTCTGCATTGTGTTAGTGCAACAATAAAATTACACCTTTTTTTTTTTTTTTTTTTTTTTTTTTTTTTACATCTATGCACAAAAGGAAGTCCCCCAGAGTGTCTTGTCAGTCGGAAACCACACATCAACTGCAGTTTACCTTGTGTCTGTACTACTGACATCCAGTCTCTCCACTCTTATAGAAAACTCTTAACCTATTATCAGATATTTGGAATAGAATGGCATTGGTAAATATGGTATAAGTTATTTGTTGTTGTCATCTATGACAAAGTTAACTAGTAACATTGAACTGTGATTTAAAAAAAAATCCTATTTCTCCTGCAGCCTATTGATCTGTGCAGCCGAAATCTGATCATATCTGAGGAAATGATACTGCATGAAAGCAAGCATCACGCTCTGAAGGTAATTTTATTTATTTTTTTACCTTAGACAAAAAATATACTAATTTTAATCTTTGTGTTATGAACAAATAGCTTCCTGTATGTCACAAAAAAATCATCAACATTTACAATCGTCAATTCAAACTCAAAATGAAAGCTCTTTGCCTGAGTGCGCATCTCGTGTCACAATGTGTGTGTTTGCTTAAGTAAACATTTGACCAGAAAAAACTACAGAGAAGTGACTTTAGGGGAACACATAAACCAGATGTCAGAAAATTTCCGGTAATATCCCTGTTTTGGGGTTACCTAGGAATAAATATTGTCCACACAATAACTACAAACAAACTGAGCCACAAAGAGGAGTTACTGGCTCTTTAAATGATAAAATATTTTTAAGCAGAACTGTGATGTGCACTGACTTGAAATACTGGCATATCTGTGTGATCACTTGTAATCCAAATGTTTATCAATGTAACTGTGTGATTAGAGGGGAGTTTCTACCTAATGTGTTGTTTTTAATGGCCAATCTATTATTCCAGCTTTACACACTGGAGGAGTCCACCTCTGGGCAAAGCTAATACAATTTGGTGGTCACAAAATTAGGTTTCAACTATGCTATATAAAACACTTCTGTGACATTTTGAGTCAAATTGCTGTCATATGCCAGTATACCAAGAACAATGTATTTATTATTTTATAATGTTTATACATTTTAATAATTAAGCAGTTTTGTTAAACATTATATTTTTTAGTCATTTTTAACTAAAATCCTTCACATTTGACAATTAAGCAATTTTAAGCAACATTTATTCACACATTTAAAATGCATTCACATGATATTTTACTTACATCCTCTTTCACCCACTCTTAACCTAAGTTGCACATGAACATTCACACACACAGAGTCTAACCACATACTGGCTACAGAAATACCCTGCCTGCTGTCTCAGGATGCAGAGGAAGCCACTGCAGCTAATGCATTGTCTTTAAACAGTGCCCCTAAGCTAGATGAAAGACACATCATAATAAGTGCTATGTGACTCTGTCTAGGTAACAAATATATTTATACATTCAGTGGTTTCTCTTGGAGCATTGTTTGTTCCTATTTCCTTTTTGCATTAATTTTCTCCTTGAATGAACATAACATTTTCATTGTATATCAAATAGTTTACCCTCTCTTCATGGAGTATACAGATGCCTACATTAGATTACTTCTACAGCGTGTACTTCAATCTTGCTTAAATTTGTAGAAATTTGTTTTGTCTCAGGTTTCTCTTCATCTAATCCTTGTCGTTACCTCTCATCTTCAGGTCACAGTGTTTGTCTACAATGACCTGATGTTAGTGACAAGAGAAGATGAGCCTGGCAGGTGCAATGTCCTCCAGAGTCCACTATACCTGCGACACCTGCGCTTACAAGATGGTGAGTGTCTCAAAATATATCTAAAGAGCTACAGTTTGCACTCAACATCAGTAGAAAAGCATTCTGCAAATACCCATTTGCATAAATGTTGGGACAAGTATTTATGGCGTTTTTACTATTTTAATGGGAGAACTGTCTTTTTCTCCTTTGGAACGATGATATGTAATGATATACCTAAATAAAAACCTAACTTTTGTAGAACAAAAATGACAACCTATCTATGGCCTTAACTTTGAAAATAATACATATAAATGAAGGCCTACATCTAAAAAGCATTACTGTCAAGCATTGCAGTCACAGGATCCTGTACATGTGGGATTCAAATATTTACCACTGTAATTAGAACTACTTTAAACTAAGCTTCCTTAACTTAAAACCAATTGCTAATATATTATATATATATATATATATATATATATATATATATATATATATATATATATATATATATTATATATTATATATTATTAAATATTATTAAAAAATGAACAGTGATGCCATTAGCATACCATTAACCTGCTAGCATTTTTGAAGTTTGTCTAGGAATTTGAAAAATAAACTGCAGCTACAAGTCAACACGATGACTTAGGATGACTTTTGAACAAAAAAATCTTTCTGACTGGCTGAGAAAGTAGTATGTTGCAAATGACATTGACAGATTCAGCCATTATTTGCCAAAAAAATAACTTATGCATATTCAGGAAATACATTTTACCTTTTCTCTCACCACAGAGTAAATACTGACCTCCTGTTAGATGCACTGAGAGAATGGTTTGGCAGAGAAAAGCACACAGCCTGAGGAAACTGAAAAACTGTAAACATCTTTGTTTGGATGGGCTGGCAAAGGCATGGCATGGGTCTGGAGTCAAGGGTGGAGTACACACACAGTTTGCACCATTAGAGACCTGCAATTAAATAGCAATCTATTCATCTTGATGGGACGTAAATGATTACAGCTGGATGTGTATAATTGCTCACATGTAACAAGTGATTATCAACAACCCACTTACATCTACTTAAGTAACAGAATGGCATATTTCTGCTTGGCAACGGGTTACAGAGGACCTTTTCACTTGGCTTGCTGCATTAATAATTTAGTCTTCCATTACTTCTTGTCTTTTTGTGTAGCTTTTCAGAGTGGTGCATAATGTCTTTCTAAAAACATCATTTTGTCCAGTCAGGCTTCTATAATACTATTATACTAGTGATTCTCCTATATCAAACTGTAATAGCATATTTGGCCTCTTCTTGACCACTTGAACCTCCGCCCCTCACCCTTTATATCAGAGGGAGTGGATGGAGCTGAGCTTGTGTGTGCTTTTCTGTTCTGTCACACAGTCACAGAGGCGTCCTGCTGCCTGTCATTGTTATTAGGCTTCAGCAGCGTCAGTCAGGAAAGAGGCGCCGGGGGATTGTGTTTGTTTCAGCGTGTGAATGTGTGTGTGTATGTATGGGGTGTGTGCTGGGTGCATAAATGACAAAGTGCATGTCCATTGCAAGGGCTTTCCTGTCTTCTATCCTGAAAACCGTGGGAATTGGGGAATAGTGAGTTAAACCAGACTCCAAACCAGCTCAACAATTTTTTACTATTGTTGGAATGTCAAGTATTTTCTTGGCCCAGGATGTTCATTACATTACATGATGAATAATATTATATAAAAATTTCAAGGGTCAAACATTTTTGTGAAAATGTCCATAAACACCGGTGCAGAGAACTACAATGATACAACAGTGACATCTGCTGATCAACTTAAAAACTGAAACTTTGTAAAAATAACTGAAAATTGACATTTAAATGTCTACTTAAAAACTTAAGTGGACATTTACTACATTTTACTATTTTCCCCAACAAATTAAACAGTTGTTTATTTTTGTATGTAAAGTCTAATTCCTTTTTACATGTACAGTATAATGAATTATGACAAATTATTAGAAATAGAATTTTTTATTATGTCGATGTTTTTTGTTTATGACCTAAATAGCACTCTTGGTGGAGATGGTGATGCTACACAAAGCAAAACATTACATTGAAAATATATGTTTTTGTTTTCCAGATTATGTTGAAGAACTGAGATTCTACCTAATCCATATGACAGAGGTAAGAATCCTGTTTTCACTTTATACACTGAGAGGAAATACGAATGGAAAGAAAAAGGCAGGTCTTATGTCCGAATCAGAGGGACAATTGACTGTACTGGAAATGAAATTACTGAGATACATTAGGGTTAGCAGCTAGATCTAATAAAAATGTCTTTGTTAATGTACTCGCTATCTCTGAGGACAATCTCTCCATGCTGCACTTAAAATATTTTACACAAGCAGAAACCCAAGGTAATCATTGTATCTTTGTGTGGTGTGGGTAACATTTTAACTTCACCTTCATAGTTGATCATAAAAGGAAAATGAAATACACATGTACAGGGAATCTTAAGAGGTTAGATGTTTAGATAATAATCTGCCATCTTCAGTAATATAATAACAAAGTTTATGTGCTGTTTGAGTTCAAGCTTGTTTTTATTGCATTTTATGAAAGCCTCTGTAGGTGGTGGTAGTGACTTTGTTTTTTATTGCAAGCATGCTAAGGAGTATGATAGACTAGTCTGAAGTCAGTTTAAAACAACATTAATGTTTAAAGTATAAATAAAAAAGGGCTGCTTTGACTTTTGACAATGATGTCATGCTTTCTCTGGAGATAAAATTCAGATAGAGCAATAATGCTCTAAAAAAAAAAAATTATCAAATTAAATAATAATAACAATAAAAAAAATAATTAATACAATTCTGGCATGTGCCCCCATGATCATAAACTTGGCATTATTATACTAAAATATGCAGTGAAACCTCATTAGCTACATATTTAATACACTTTTTAAGGGCATTTTCACAATAAGAAATCCAACGTGCCATAAAAGAGAACACATAGCAATATTATTCAAGATAAGTGGGTAACATAATTTATGGGAGGAGAGGGATTTAAATTGCTAAGAAGGCTTCAGGTAAACGTGTAACTTGTGTTGCTCATTCAGTTGTCCGATGTGTATTAACCTTATCTTTATACATTTCCATCTGTCCAGTCTTTTTTTCTCCATTTTCAGTAGTATGTCATTTAACCATAGAGAAATAAACAGAACAATTTAAAAGTAATTTCAAACTCTAAGTCAGGCTCAGTGTGTGTATTTTGGCTTGCATAATCGTAGTTTGTATATAACATCTAGGTGGTGTGCTACACAGGAACCGTACCAAAGAGTGCGTCATCAACATGTCATAATACTGAGTTTTGTTTTGAAAAAAATATTCCCCTCATTCAGGATGGCATGGTGCAGAGCATGAAATAACAACATTTAGTCTCTCAAAAACTTAATAAAAAGCTTCATTCAGCGACAGTGTACTTTTTGGATGACTTTTAGTTGGCTCAACTTCCCTACGTCTCCCCTATCACTATGTTGTCAGCATCTCTGACACAATTGCACACACTTATTTGCCGTCATCCATTAAAAGTGATGCTCCTGTCAGCAGTTTTTTCAGTACTCGAGGGAGCAAACACAAACTGCTGCAATATGCCACTCATCCCTTACAGATATAATGTGCCTTGGACTAGCACCTATTAATTGGTTATGGCCTATTTTTCCTCCTCACTAGAGAGTCTAGTGGGGAGTACAATATGCCAGCAAGCCATCAAGGGATAACCTATTTTTGTTTAGTAATGATGGCCTCTTTACCAAGTTATTGACCTGATGCAGCATGTAGGTGCAGAGACAGATTAAACAACAGCAAGCACTGCATGTCAAGACTACCCACATGGGGTCTTGAGTGTCGACTACATTCTGTTGACAAGGAGGAGATGTTATTCGAGTGTGCGCTTTGACCCTGGCCCCCATCAGTTTGTGTGTGTTCAACATGAGGTGTAATGTGATAGACTCTAATTGAATTGCTCTTTCAGGCCTGCGTACAAAGGTCACATGCTCTAAATGAAAAACAAATAAAAACAGTAAAAGGCATAGAGGGGAGATTGAAAACATCTTACTGTTCAACATCAATCAATCAGACAAAAGGGAACAGTAGAAATATCAAGCAGTTGTGAAAGATTACAGTATGTGATTATTCGTATTTGCCATTAGAGCTATCACATGCAGTGATCTCATCAGATGTGTTGCTAGACACATGTACTCTTTATTGTGTATTCAGTATGCAGTATAGGCGAATCCATGTTCTTGTGTGCCATCATTCAGTCTCAGACAATAATCATTCAACTATACACATTATTGATCAGCTCTAATGATACAAACGTTGGTGAGGGACAAAAGAGCATTGATTACCATGTTACCATCAGCAGTGAGTGGAATATATTAGAGATTCTCTCATGCGTATTATTTATGTAGGCTTTCTATTATATTATATAGTTATCCAGTTATATGAGAGAATCACACAGGCTAACAGGCTATATTGTACTGTAAGGTGTCTGTCTTGAGTAAACCATGTTTCAGGTTTGTATTAGACATTAGCCAGCATTCATCTACTGAACATACACATACAGAATTAGATCCCACATGGAAAAGACAAGAATTTTGAGTGTAATGGTAGGTGATATGCCAAATTAACATATCACATTTTTACAGCCTCTGTTACAATTATGCTTTATCACAATTCAGCTTTACACTTTTAGGTAACTTAAATTCTTTGCTTCTTCTTGAAGTGACACTTCCCCATGACTGGGTAAATTTGCTTGTTACTGAAGCTGAAAGAAGAAGAAGTGAAAACATTATCTATGTTTGAGCACAGAGCTGAATTAAACACAGGAATATTATCATGATCAATGTTCCTTGTGTTATGACAATATCACCCAAATACTGTATCACAAGGATCAGATAACTATTATATTTTCATTGTTATATCACCCAGTCCTATTTCAGAATTTTATCATGTACATGATGAACTGCCGTTATACAGTATCTCAAAGTGACTAATGTTCAGATCTTTCCTCCCAAAGGCCAGATTTTATTTTATATGCTGCACACTTGATCATTGTTGCAATATAAATTTGATTTCATATTGCAATCTTACTATTGTCCGCTCTCCTTTCCTTGCTTCTGCCCTTCTCCTTTTTTGCTGGAGGTCATCCTTTTTTAGCAGTAGCTCAGAACAGAGTCAATCTAACCCAGATTTACAAAGTGTGTAGACAGGGGTGTGAAGGTAGTGTGTCTTTGTGTCTTAAGCGTGCAAGTGTGTCAGTGACGCAAGACGAAAGGAACCAAGAATCCTTTGAGCAGGTGAAGTGACAACAGCGTAGCCAGGACAGAGCTGAGGGCATTTTTGACAAGTAGAGTGCAAAGGTTCATCTGTTACTCATCAGGTCAACATGGGCAATGTGGCTGACCGTGCCGGGCCTAAGAAAGGAAAGTTTATCAGGGAATCGAGTTCGCTACAGCAGCATCTACTGTCTGACACTGGAGATGTAAGTGATCTGCTGTGCTAGCTGGCAATCAATATAGAAACTTTACTATACTATAATTCAGCGTAATGTGAGTTTGTTTAGGTTCTGTAGTCATGATGTAATGATAAAAAAAAACATATGAAGTTTTTTCAATCTTCAAATATACCAAAAATTGTGAATTACTCAAACATTAACTTGTAATGGACATTGTTTAACTTGAGTTTCTTATACAACAGTGCCCTTAGCATAGACTTGTTGTTTGCTGTCATTCATGGCTGATTTGCAGTTTCATACTGTACCAAAACAAACAGAATCATTCTGCCTCTGTGGTTTACTAATGAGTGCTAATGTAAAACAAAAGCTGAGAGGTGCCTTGTCACTCATTTGGCTTTTTCCTTCTTAGAATTTTTCATGGGGGCTATTAGTGTCTAATGGATACAATGTGATCACCTCTTAATCACTAATGCCTATCAGTCCTTGAATCTGAAATCTCCACTTAAACCTCCAGTGACTAATGCTTCTTACGTCATCCCAACACAGGCTAGATGTTGATAGTGCTGTACATTATTTATTATATTTGTTACTGTTATTTTAGTGCTTTGTATATGAAAGACCTGTGCAATCTAATACCTCATATCTAGCATATCTAATCTGATGATAGAAAAAGGTGATGCACAGGATTGGGAGCATGTGCCAAACTAGGTGAAAACACAGTGGTGGTTGTGTGTAGGCCGGTGAGCAGTAAGCGTACTGTGTGATCAGGCCTGGTGTGGTGCAAGCAGTGCTTTGCATACAAATACTGCATTTGTTCTGAGATCTGCGCAGGAGAAGGTCACAATATTTATAGTTTGGAGCAATGTGCGAAACAAAAAACTTTGACTGCATTACCTGAAAACACCATCCATGCATTTCCAATTTTGGGTATTTAAAATATCATTGAATGGAGCATTAGTCAAGAATAAAATAATGAAAAAATAATGTAACTTAACAAAATCATGTGTAAAAAGCAATAAAATAAAGTATATAAAATAAAAGCATTATGGAGTATTTTATAGATATTTTTATTATAGATACTTACCTTGTAGTAGAAATATTCCAAAGTGTAACTCATTAACCTACCCTTTCCATATACATCGTTTGTTTATTAATTTAACTCCAACTCCATAACACCTAGGTGGTTTCAAATCTTCATGACTTCATGACATACAGTGACGGAACAGTCTCTCTGAGTAATGTGTGTCCAGAAGCCCATGTCAGCAGAATGCCTACTTTATGGAGTCTATCGATAACCAACTGAGGCAGGAGCAGTCCCTCTTGGGTCTTATTGAACTGAGTGTCCCCACCCACCTCCTCTTAGACCACAACTTATGGGGTACACTTAGCTTTCACTGTGATTTAATATGCTACTGCTTACTGGCTGCAGTGCACTGACTCTAGCTGTACATCTGAGCTAAATCACTCTCAGACATTGAACCTATGATTACATTTAGATTGACTGTCGCCAGTTATTATTATTTATTAAAAAATGCTAAAGTTGCAGTATTTGTCAGAGCAAGTGCTAATGTCATGGCAGATACCTTCTTGTTCTGACTGGTAGGCAAATGCCATTGTCGTGAATAATATAGAGTTCTTGAGTCTTATGTAAGCTTCAGTAAATATACAAAACT